AGACTTCCCTTTTCTCCACACCCTTGCCAACACTTGTTATCTCTTGACTTTTTGATAATAGCCATTTTAATGTGTGTGAAGTGATTTCTCATTGTGGTTTTGATTTTCTTTTTCCTGAGAATTAATAATGTTGATCACCTTTTCATATACCTGTTGGCCATTTTTATGTCTTCTTTGGAGAAATATCTGTTCAGGTCTTTGCCCATTTTTTAATTGGGTTATTTGTTTTTATACTATTGAGTTGTATGAGTTCTTTATAAATTTTAGATATTAACACATTGACTGCCACACAAAAAAATCAGAAACTTTTCCTTGGGGCCACAGTGCTTTATTACGAAAATAGAATAAAAACTTCTGAGTATAATTTAAAGGTAAACATAAATAGAAAAACAAAATTTATTGACTTCTATTCATTTAATCCACATTTTTAGAATTAAATTGTCAGTATAACTGTAACAATAACAACTTCAACAAGTAAGGTTTTATATATGCTTCACGTGGCCCCAGGGTCAAAACTAGAGTGAGTTAAATATAACTCACGGCAATTAATGTGTTAACCCCTTATCAGATATATGGTTTGCAAATATTTTTTTCCCAAACTAAGTTTTTGTTTCATTTTGTTGATTGTTCCCTTTGCCGTGCAGTTTCTTTTTAGTCAGAGCTCACACTCTTAACCACTGATAGGTACTATCTTCTATTTGATCGTAATATTGTTATATAGTTTAACATACAGGAAAGAACAAGTACTTCCAAGCACTCGTGACTCACATAAATATTAACATTTTGCCATGCTTGCTTCAGACTGTTTTTTAAAAGAAATAATTTCAGAGGCAGTCAAAATCCCACTTTACTCCTCATCTATTCCATTCTTTTTCTTTTGTCCACATGTAGGGAACACTTTTCCTGAAATCAGTATGTTTTCTTCCCATCCAAGGTTTTAGATAATAGTTTTATAAATCCTGTTGGGGTTGGTGTTATTTTCCTCATTTTACAAATAAAAACACTGAGGCTTAAGTCACCTGACCACAGATCACGTTGCTTAGAAATGGTAAGGAGAGAACCGCATCTCTAGGCCTTGTTTTCTTTTCTGGTATAGTGGGATATTTTTAATCTCCGTCCCCTGACTCTTACGGGACTTGAGAATTTAGGTATACTTCATTTCGGTATTTGGGATGTGGAAAAAGAGGATGATTTGAATAACTGGTACTTCATAGTTGTCCAAAAGCATTGTAAAAATTTTCCCTTTTCTCATCTTCCTCCAGAATGCATGTCTTAGTTCAGAGACTGCTAAAACAAAATATCATAGAGTGGGTGGCTTAAACAACAGAAATTTAATTCTCATACTCTGGAGACTGGGAAGTTCATGATCATGGCACTGGCAGATCTAGTGTCTGGTAAGGGCCTGCTTCCTGATTTGCACATGACTGTTCTTCTTGTGTCCTCACATGGCAGTGAGCAGACAGAGGGGGAGCAAGCTCTCCTGGAAGGGCCCCAATCCCATGCAGAAGGGCGCCACCTTCATGATCTAATCACCTCCCAAAGGCCCTGCCTCCTAATGCCATCACATTAGGTGTTAGAATTTCAACATATGCACACCTGTAATCCTAGCACTCTGGGAGGCCTTGGTGGGATGATTGCTTGACCTCAGGTGTTTGAGATTAGCCAGAGCAAGAGCAAGACCCCGTTTCTACCAAAAAGAAAAAAAAAAAAAAAACAGCTGGGCATTGCCGTGTGCGTCTGTAGTCCCAGCTACTCAGGAGGCAGAGGCAGGAGGATGGCTTGAGCCCAGGGGTTGGAGGTTGCAGTGAGCTATGATGATGCCACTGCACTCTAGTGAGGGCGACGGAGTGAGACTCTGTCTCAACCAAAAAGAAAAAAAAAAGGAAAAAAAAGAATTTCAATATATGAATTTTGGGAGGACACAAACCTTCAGTCCATAACTATGCACACTGTGAATTTTATGTTTAAAAAAAAGCGAGCAGGGTGCAGTGATACGTACCTGTAGTCCTACCTACTGGGAAGGCTGGGGTGGGAGAATTGCTTGAGCCTAGGAGTTCAAGGCAAGTCTGGGCTTCCATCTCTAAAGAAAAAAACAAGTGGTTATTTTATGGAAAGAGTTAACAAAAAAAAAAGCCTTTGTTATTATTTAACTCAAAGCGTGTTGAGCCCAGGGGTGAGTCCTGGGACACAGTAAGTACCGTGTTACACTGAGCCTGCTTTTATTGATGGGGTCCATTGTCCTAGGATTTTGCCCTTTTGTGCCAACTGTTGTTATCTGCCACTGCCTGGTCAGTTCCTGGAGTGCAGTTGGATATAGCTGACCGGTGACCAGATGAGGCAGCTGACATCAGTGGTCACAGATCGATGGCCAGGCAGGGTGAGGATGTCAGAAAAAGTTCTGAGGATAGTTCCGATACAGTTAACGCGGTAGACCTGGGTTTGGTTGCTGGTGTGGCTCCGTCACTGCTGAAGAATGTTGGGATTTCTTCCTCACCTGCTTAATCTCCGTGCCATCCAGCAAGTGGAGATAAAGCCTTTTTGCAAAGGATCACTGGGGATTTATTTCTGAAAGCACCTATCCCAGTGCAATACACATGGTAGGTTCATATCAACGCTGATTGAACTTGAATCTGGAAGCCAGAACAGGAATATTAGGTGCAAGATTCAGCAGAATCCTGTAGTTAGGAGTGAGCTGAAACCCTGAGAATTAGGAAACCTACAAGGTGTGCACACATAACTGAGTCTCGAAAGTCACAGCAGGCTAAGTCCCTGGACCCAGGAATCCAGGGATCCTGATGGAGGCCCCGTCACACGAGTTTGGTGTAGGGGCAGTTGGTGCCTTGATTGTTTTTCTACTTTCTGGTGGATTTTGGTGGCTTTGGCCATCACATGAGTTCAGGTCATTGTGACCAGATAGTCTTATCTATATTTGTGCTCTAAGGCCATCACATGGGGGACAATATGGCTGTACAGCTTTAAGGGCTGGCTTTGAAGTCACACGGACTTGATCTTGCTCGCAGGCTTTGTAATCCCGGCCCAGTACATCAACTGACTTGCATATCAATTTCCTAATCTATACAATAGGAATGATAACACTTAGCTCACAGTGTTGCTGTCAGCATTAAATGAGAAAAGGCATGTACAACACTTGGCATACGGCTTTGAGTGCTTTAATTGATCAGTGAATGGCAGCTAGTAATAACATTGCAAAGACGCATTTGCATTTAGTTGGTGGAATGGAGCAACTGGAGAGGTTTGTGGTGCAGTGCAGCCGTGTCGTCTCTGGAGTCAGCTGCTCGAGTTTAACTCCCGGCTGCATCACCCACCAGCCGTGTGACCATCAGCACATCACTTAATCTCTGTGCCTCTCTGCTGTCATTTGCAAAGCTGAAGCAGTAATAGTACCAGCTTTATAGGATTGTTGCGAAGATTAATTTATAATTTGACAAAACAAAACAAGAAACTGTAACAGAGTTCCCAGCATATAGCAAGCGCTCAGGAAGTATAAGCACTACTGTTAATTGTGAATTATTTTCCACAGTTATTGACAAATAATAAAGGCAACGGAAAATATGATGCGATGCTTCATGAGGCAGACGAGCCTACATCACCGGAGACATTCAGTTGGAAAGTAGCTTAGTGAGGATTTAGTTCTGGGTACTCAGATGTTGAGAAGTTGGAAATGATAGGTAACCACCAAACTCCTTCCCCCATAAAACAGGACGCGCAGTGTGATGGCTCCGTATGTTCAACTCCTCACACTGCCATCTATTAGCTGTGTGACCCTGGGCAAGTCACTTAACTTCTCTGTGCCTCATGTAGGACACTCATCTGTAAAAAGGGATAATAACAGTTCCTCTCTCATATAGTTGTTATGAAGATTAAAAGGCTTCATATACAAAGAGCGGGTAGAGCAGTACTTTTATTCCAAACCTGAGATTCATTCTCTGCAGCCACCCTTCTTTCCTTTATATTTTCCCTCTTATCTTCCTTTTCTCCTTCTCTCCTTCTTCTCGCTTTCTGATTCACAATAGGAACCTGGTGGGTCCCTGTTGTTTCAGAAATTCCTTTAGGACTTGACCGTCAAGCTGGCTCAGGACTGTGAGGGGTGACTTTGCATTTTAAGTTGTTTGTTTTGGGGCTTGCAAATATGTCTGTTGAGAACATATTTCAGCGACAATCTGTCAGACCAGTAATGAGGGGCAGCTAATAAGGCGCCTGACAGACGCTTTTTATTTACAGAGATGACAAATGCCAGTACTTGGCTGTGCGGGAATCATTTCAAAGGCCAACAGACTCATTATAATCATCAGTACTTGCTACACTGAGGCTCATTTTGTTAGAGGACTGTGCATCATTGGGATTTCTGTTAATTGAATCGTTTTTGATATTCTTGCAAAAGGAAGAATATTTTAAAATTTCTGTCCCTTCATTCATCTCTGAACTTACATGTTTTGTAATGACTAACTTTTGCAAATCGCATTTTAGACACTGTTTGCTGCTGTTAGAACTGTGGATGCTGTTTTAGGATGTTTGCCAAGATCCCCGAGCCTTTCTGTGTCCCCAAGGCAGGGGTTGAAAGCATGCATAGGACCGCAGGGCCCAGGCAGATAACGAAAATGAGGGAAGGGCTGAGCGGAGGCTGGTGATTGGAGGCACCTGCTCTTCTGCCGGACCGGCTGTTCCACTAGCTAACTGGGCCAGCGGGAGCACGGGCCAGCATCGTTGGGGCACTTCATGTTTCAAAAGAAGGAAGAAATTTGCATACCTTTGTGAAATCTATTTTTATATGTTGTTTTGAGACGTCGGCAACCAATCCAAAAGAGTTTGAAGACAACGGGCTTCCAGACTCTGATCTGTACCTAAGGTCTAAAGCAGTTGTTTCTTTGCTATTAATAGTTAAAAACCAAACCAAACCAAAACAATGACAAAAAAACCCCCACCAGTAACGAACTTATAAGAATAAATGAGAGACCTGTTTGTTTGTTTTCTCTTTGCAGACTGGTATAGGGGATACCTCTTAAAGCACAAAATGTTACAGGTAAGGTCAATCGGTTCTTATTTGGGACAAGACTGGATGTCTTCACACGGCCCTGCCACCCTGCTGGGGCAGCTCTCTCCCACCATTGCTCTTCAGCAAACCAAAGCCATTCTCCCTCCATCTGCCCTGTGCCCTGCGCCCTCTGCATCTTGGTACTCACTGTGCCTTGACTCTCTTCCCCTTCCCCTATTCTTTAAGGCCCATCTCCTGTGCTGTCGCCTCCCTGCAACCCTTCCTGATATGCTACTCACATATGATTTCTCCCTCCCCCAAGTCCCTGTGGAATTGTGCCCGTTTTATTTGAAATTTATCTTCTGCTGCCTTCCTTTAGAGTTGTGTGGGGATTCATTCCTCTCCTCACCTGTGTATCCAGCATGACGTAGAAAGGACAGGCCGGGTCTCTACCTGCCAGTGGTTCTCTTGCTCCAGCCCCACGCCACACGTCACCTCCACCAGAGCAGGCACCTGCTCTGCTCGGCTTGTGTCCTCTCACGGCATCTAGCATAGCGACCCGATGTCCCCAAGTGTGCGCACTGGTTGAATCTATGAAAGGAATTTCCAAATAGTTGATAAACTTCTCTTGTTAACTGAGCCAAATTGTGGAGCAAGGAAATAATAGAAGCTTTTCCTTCTTCCCTGACATGCTGTGTTGGGAGGCACGACCCCACTTTTCTCTCTCCAAAGAACAATGCAATAAATCCGGGGAGAATAGGTCTCAAATCTAAGTAGCCCAAGTGCAACCCAGAACATCGTTGCTGCAGGACCAGTTCCTCCTGACCTTCCCGTTGTTCCTGACTGTGACGGGTGACTGCTTTCCAGAACTGGGCAGGAGAGGGGAGAAGCAGAGCCCCTTGCCTCACAGTGCTGAGTGGTTTAGAGTGTTTATCAAGCGATACTCCCTTGTGGCCCACCTGAGAGGGTGAGTGTCCATAATGGGGTTGAGGCATCATTTGGGACCAAGGGCTGTTGTGGGCTCTAGAGCAACTCATGGAAAACTGGAAGGGAAGCTAGACCTGGATTGTCTTCCTGCTCTAGCTGACTCTGGGGTTATTTCTTTAAAGTTTAAGGATTTTGCCAGTCAGTGGCTTTGTAAAAAATCCTGAAGGCCTAGGGTCAGTCATTTCTGTAGGGATATGCCTTTTTATTTTATTTTATTTTGTTTCCAACAGGGCATTTTTCCTAAATCCTTTATCCACATCAAAGAAGTGACAGTCGAGAAGAGAAGGTATTTGCCATTCCTTGCCACACTTGACCTCCAGTGGCCCGTACATGTCTTTGTCCTTTTTACTTTGAAAATCTGCCTCGGCAGGTCTGCAGGTGTTCAGGGTACCTGCTTTGTGCCTGTGTTTGTTTGCGTGTCTCCTTTCCCTCACTCGATGGGAGAGCTAATCCAAACTGATTCCTGTTCAGATCCGATTCTGGGAGATATTAATTTGGAGAATCAAACTTTTCACTGGCAGCTGCCTTTGAACTGTATTAAAGTAGATTAATCGTGAATAATGAGCCCACCCTGGCGAAGGAGGACATCACAGAGGAAGGTCCTTGTATTTGCATAATGTAATTGGTGTGGCTATTGGAGGCAGTTCAGTCTCATGTCAGGAAGGCCCCTCCCAGCAGCTGCAGCTTAATGCAAATTCGCCAGCATTTTATCTCATTAGCACCTGGGTCTCAATTTCACGCCATTTTTTTCTCCCACCTTAAATAGAAATACCGAGAACATCATTCCCGCAGAAATTCCTCTGGCACAAGAAGTGACGACGACACTTTGGGAGTGGGGGAGCATCTGGAAACAGCTCTATGTGGTGAGACTCGAAATTTTGCTCCCTGGGATGGAAGCTGCTTGCAGTCTTCAGTTTGGTTCAAGTTTGCAATTTAGCCTTGAGCCTGGCAGGCTAAGGTGGTTTTGGTGACATATCAGAGCACACAGTTATGTCTGAGGACTTCAAGGCCCAGAGAGGTTAGGTGACTTTCTCAAAACCACACAGCTAGCAAGTGACAGAGCCATAATAAACGGGGTCTGGTGTGATCCTTCTGTTTTTAAACTAGTGTAAAAGTTGCCAAACTTGAGTATGTGTAACAATCACCTTGAGAGCTGTTAAAAATAAAGCTTTCTCTGATGGGGTTTAGTAATCTTCGTTTTTAATAAACTCAGGGATTTGACTTGGTAGTCTGCTGATAACACCTTGAGAAATGCTGTTCTCATATATTAATTAACCGATGCTATTGTCTTCAGATCTATGAAGAAGCTTTGACCCTGGAAAAATAAAGAGCGTATTTTGCATTTGTTTTCCCTGTTTTGAAGCAAATCGAATTTTAAATCCTCCTTTGATGCACCAAAGCTCCTAATAAAAGCAATTAGCTAAGCAAACCATTAAGCTGAGAGTGGAAATGTCAACCCAGGCTCACTGCATATTAGCTAGAACACCGGGACACCTGCTGGTGTGTGCACGCTATTTGTAGACTTTCATGGTCTTAGATGTTGACTCCCATGTAGACATTTCATAATATGTCGTAATTGGCACACTCAATTCTGTAAGTTTCCCAAAAGTTGTTAGGAAAGTTTGAGGGGAAAACAGTATCTTTGTGGCTAAAGTGATTTCTTTTTCATCTCCTTTTAAAACATCACATATATACGTACCATTTCTATGGCTTAACATTTTCCCTTGAGAAATCTTTGAATAGCAAGTCCCTATGCCCATCCCCTAGTAAAGAGATCCTTAAACATCTATTATTTAGTGTCACCTTCAGGATTCCTGCCACATCTGTATATAACATGGTGTTACTTAATACCTAAATTGACACTCCTTTTAGTAAACCTGAATCAGTTTACATAGTGAACTTTATAAAGTTCTGACAACAATTCTCTGATTCTTCAACACTAACTGGGTGCCCTACAATTCAATCCAATTCTGACACGACTACCCAGAGTTGGCATGAGACTCCGCAGGCTTGATTCCACAAGACAGCCCTGCCTTCAGTGGCCAGTCTCAAGTCCCAGGTCCCCAGGCTACCTGTGCTTCGGTTAGAATTGTTTACAAATCGAGGGATTCCTGCTACCCCTCCCCAACCAGACACCCCCTTTTCCCACCTCAGGTTCCATAATTCTTAGAACAACTCACAGAACTCAGGAAAGTGCTATAGTTATGATTACAGTTTTATCATAAAGGGTACCACTCAGAAACAGCCAAATGGAGGAGATATGTAGGGCAAAGGATGGGGGCACACAGAATGTCCACGTCCTCTCTAGGCACGTTGATGTGTTTACTATCTGGGAGGCTCGTCAGACCTCACTTTTTAAGAGTTTTAATCAGTTTCATTACACAGGCATGATTGACTAAATTATTGGCCATGGGTGCTTGAGCCCAATCTCCAGCCTCTCTCCCCTCCTGGAGGTTGGGGATGGGAGAGACAGAGGGGAGTGGGGCCAAAAGTTCCAAACCTCTAATCATATGGTCGATTCCTCTGGCAAGCAGCCTCCATCCTGAAACTATCTAGGGGCCCATCCAGAGTCACCTTCTTTAGCATAAACTCAGCCATGGTTGAAAGGGGATTGTTATGAATAATAAAAGACATTCTTATCACTCAGGATATTGCAAGGGTTTTAGGAGCACTGCCTCGAGAATCAGGGACAAAGACCAAACATATACATATATACATATATGTATGCATATGTATGTATATTTCTTTCTTTTCTTTATTATACCGCACACACTTTCCCAAATGGAAAGCCAAAAGCATTTGGCACAATTAGACGAACACTATTCAAATAAACACAATGAAAACAAGACAGTGTTATTAGATGCTTGCTATTATACCGGTCTAAATCTCTGAGCCCAAGACCTTCCTCTCTGTCAAAGAAAGAAATTAAGAAATGTGTGAGAGGTGTTAAAGACATATTACCATAAAACTGCAAATTTCTCTTTCCCTGAAACAGAAAGATGGAAAGAGAGTGGAAGAGAATCACTATGTGGGTCAGTGTTATTTGACCTTGTATCTTTGTACCTCCAAGAGCCATCTCCCATGCCACAGATAGTAGACATGCAACGCTTTGTGAGGGATGTTCTAGAAATAGTCCTTTATCACTGAAGAAAGGGCGCTGGCTTCCAGCCTCAAAGGGATTATAGCAGGTGTTTGTCAACCTAAAATAATCAAAAGGGTCAGAATCTAGTTTAAAGAGAGTTTATTCAAGTGCAAAGTTTAACAACAGTCTACCAGGAAGCATAGATTCCAAAGAATGGAAGCCAGTGTTCCGAAGTGTAGAAGCTTGGGATTGTTCATTTAGACAAAGTTCAGGGAAGCTTAACAAAGTTTCATTATCTTTCTATGTAAGGCTTAATGCATAGTTACAAGGATCTGATTAGTTTAGATGGTCTTTTTCTTTGGGAAAGGAACATTTAACATTCCTTTCCCTAAGGTTGTAACAGTCATGGGGTCTTTTGCACCACCTGGTCTGAGTTAGGTACAGGACAGTAAAGGAGGCAGTCAATCCATAACAAAGATCAGTGATGGGAAGAGAGGAGGGGTCTGGTCTGCTCGTCATTTACTGAACTAGAATAGGAGGAAGAAAGTTAATCTATAATCTAAGAAGCAAAATTGCAGACATGCTACATGACTCATTCTCCAGGGCTTAACTTCCTCCTTGGCTTAATAAATTTACAGGGTCCTGAAATTTTATTTTCTTTTACATGTTCATGGCATTTATGTTCAACAAGTATCTTTTTGGATTAAAGTCAGAAATCATCGATTCCTTACCCAAGAAGTGATTGGGATTTTTACTCTTGCTCCTGGGAAACCTCTCTAGCCCACGGGGAAGAAATACATCAGTGACAACCCAATCCCTTCATAACTGGGTGGAAAGCCTCAAGCTATGGCCTCTAGACATGCTAGCCTGACTTTGGCACAGCTTGTCAAATAGATGCTGCCTTAGTCTGTGTTCGTTGCTGTAAAGGAGTACCTGAGGCTGGGTAATTTGTAAAGAAAAGAGGTTTATTTGGCTCATAGTTCTGCAGGGTGTACAAGAGACATGGTGCCAGCATCTGCTTCTGTTTAGGGCCTCGGGAAGCTTCACTCGTGGTGGAAGGTGAAGGGGAGCCGCGTCACATGGCGAGAGGAGGGAAGCAAGAGAGGGCGGGGGGTGCCAGATTCTTTCTAACACTCGGTTCTGGTGGAAACTAAGAGAAGGATCCTCCCACGTGACCCAGTGACCCAAACACTTCCCACTAGGCCCCCTCCAACATTGGGGATCAAATTTCAACCTGAGATTTCAAAGGGACAAATATCCAAACTATAGCAGATGCCCAAGCGCCTTTGCCGCAGGCGATTAAGGATTGTTTCCTGTCTCCTAGGCCAGCAAAAAGGAACGTTTCCTCCAGGTCCAGTCCATGATGTACGACCTGATGGAGTGGAGGTCCCAGCTTCTCTCAGGAACTCTGCCCAAGGATGAGCTGAAGGAACTGAAGCAGAAAGTCACATCCAAAATTGACTATGGCAACAAGTAACCTCTCTTTCCTCTGAAAAGATGCTTTCTCCCCCCTCCCCCCAGCCCCCTTCTTTCCTTTTTCCCTCCCAAGAAGCTTGGTTTCATTTTTAGATGCGAGTTAGCTACTTTCGATTTGGGAAAAGGCTCTTACCAGTGGCCATGCTTGCGTGCCTTGTTGTCACTCCCCTGGGACCCGGGGACTTGCAGGTGGAGCCAAGGCTTGCTTACGCAGTGACTATTACCAGGCCCAGAAATTTAGGACACTCGTTTAACCTACTTCCAAGGGTTTGGGGGGGCGCAGTCATGCTGGTTCACTTTCAGCTTAGTTGTCATTTTGTCCTTGCATTTGCAAAACTCTCCTTTAAGTCTCAGTGTGAGACTTAATGTCTCCTTCCCAATCCTACATTATCCAAGCCACATGCCATCAGCTAACTCCCATGCACAATTATTATACAGAAGTGTTTCCTCAAAAAGAAGCAGAAATTGGTTGGAATTTGAGTATTATGAAGTTAAGGAGAAAATGAACCAATTATTTGAGGTGGGACAGCCCAGTGGTAATAATATTATAACCAACACTTAATCAGAGCTCGTTATTCACCTGCTCTGTGCTAAGTGTTTTACGTGCTATTGCCTAATTTAAATCTTCTAAGAATTCCATGGGGCTGGCAGTTTTATTTTTCCATTCATTCAGATGAAGAAACTGAGGCTCTTTAACCAGTTAAGTATCTTGTCCAGAGTTGCACAGCTGGTGAATGGCAGAACCAGAATTCAGACCCAGACAGTCTCGCTCCAGAGTCCATGGGCCTTACCACTCTGCTGTTTGGATAGCCTTTGAGAGCTGTCAGAGCTTCCCCTCCCTCGTGGTGTTTTGAATGCCCTCCAAGCATCCTATTCATTTGTTCAGTCATTCCAACAACAAGCCAAACATGTACTGAGCATTTACAGTTGGCTGGATTTCCTGCTAGGTGTTGGGGCTACAGAAATAAGAGTCCCTGTCCACCAGGGGATCACAGTCCAGTTAGGAGTAAGCCACAAGAAAGCGATTGACATGTATTGTGATAAGTATGATGGCTTAGGAAGCAAGAGTGCTCTTAATTTGACTTGGAGAAGGAAGTCAAGTAAGGCTTCCTGGAGGAGGTGGCTCCTGAGCTGAAGTTTGAAGGATAAACAGATGTTAAGCAGTCTTAAAAAAAAGGGAGGACAGGGGTTTATGAGAGAGCATGCATGCTCAAGAGCTTGCAAAGTGGGTCAGAAAGCAGGAACATAGGAGGGGGAAGTAAAAAGAACCCATTTAATGGGAATAAAGAGAAATTTTCCTAGCAGCCAGGCCAGGCTTTCTTGCCCTTGTCATACGCACTAGGAAGAGGATCCAGGGAAGAAAATCAATGGGTCCACCTTACGGCTGCTTTCCATCCCAGAAACACCGTCCCTCTGTTGGTGCCCCTCTTGGCATCTGGCAAGTGTGTCCAAATCTGCTTATAAAGCATGCCCTCCCAAAGTGACGGGAAGGGTTTGCCACGCAGCTGCTGCTGCCATTGGTGTGGCGGCATCTTTAGCTGAACACGGTTGTAGCTGGGAGTGTGGGGACAGAGGGCATTTCGCTGCTTTACAGTGACATCTGTGACCTTCAGGTGTTGTTTCCTCAAGGGGGGCTCCTGAGAAGAAGGACCAGGGATGGAAGAAATGGTCACCACTCACAGGAAGCCTTCCCTGATTTTCCCCAACCCACCCTGGGCTGGGTTAGGTGCTCTTGCTGGCCCTTAGCATCCAGAACAGCGAGCACCTCCACGCTGGCCCGGCTCCCCTAACTGTCCTGGGAGCTCCTCTAAGACACTGACCGGCTAATTCATCGCCGTGCCTGTGCCGGGAGCAGGGTCTGCACGCAGTAGGCGCTCAGTGAGTGGTGATCGAGTGAATGGACGAATGGTGGGGACGAGAGAAGAGAGGAGGAGGGTCCTCCCCACACCAGGCCCCGGCCCAGCCCTGCGCTTTCAGTTTCAGTCTGTTTCCTGTGGGGAAGTGAGAGAGACGCACTCGGGTCCCCTCCCTTCGCTGTCTCCTTCCGCCGGAAGTGAGCAAGTGAGCGCGCTGGGCACCTGGGCTCTGGCCTGGTTCTCCAGGCCTGAGAGCTCCGGTGCGTGATGGGCGGCTCCCGGAAGCCAGGAGGCCTGAGGTGTGGGCAGCAGCGCGAGGAAGGCAGCCCGGGCCGCGAGGGAGAGGGGAGCGTGAGCGGAACCGAGTCTCGGAGAACGAGCCCGTCTCTCCCCTCGCCCGCTCTATTCTTTCATTCCAATGTCGTACTTTTGCCGCACTCCTGGTCGGCCCCAAGGGTCCGGACATGTACGACATACAGCCTCCGTTTTAACCACCACAGCTTAAAAAGCAAGCAGTAGGATCGAATGCTAACTTACCAGAGCCGCCTGTGTGCCGGAGCTGTTGTGAGCACTTCCAGTGTGCTTCCCCACAACAGCTTTGTGAGGTGGTTGCTGTTATCATCCCTGTTTCTCAGACGAGGAAACTGAGGCTCAAGAGGGATGAGGTGGTTTTGGCCAGGATGCAGCGGACTTTGAAGCAGGTCGTGTGGACGCGCGTAACTACTGCACTCTGCTGCCTCCCAAGGGCGGTGCGGGCCAGCGAGGGAGGCAGAGCCGTGGACAGCTCCTTCTGGGAGGAAGTTATACTCACCGTGAGCGGAGGAAGCATGGACAAGAGGGTCAGAGGGGCTGGGGGTGACAATTGCCCCGAATCTAACACAGGTAGCAGGAATTATTAGGGAAACTCAGAGAGTGAGAACGAGAGGATGTGGGAGCAGATGAGAGGAGCATGATAGAGGACGACAGGCAGGCAGGGACTGGAACCCAGAGGACCTAGTGCCGAGTGAGCCCACCTTTGTCCAGACGGCGATGGGGAGCTGTGGCAGGAGCCATTTTTGTTTATTTTTACCTTTCTTTTTGCAAAATGCATACAGTGGGGGTTTCTTCCTTGTCCTCATCTTGGGTTCATTTTATCTACTTTCTCGAACAGAAGAGAGCAGTGGGGTTACCTCCTAATGAGGAAATGTCCAAATGAATGGCCGCTGTGTCCAGGCGGACGCTGTCCTGTGGAGGACAGCCTCTCCCGCCCTGGGGCCACGGGAATCCCATCGATCCTACTAAAAATTCCGGAGTTCCGAGTGAGACGGGTAAAGGGCAAGCTCTGTAGGGTCCAAGGAGTGAGGAACCCTCAAATGACTTCTCCAAATCCCAAGACAGCTGGATCTGGGAGAATGTTTTATTCATACATTTTAGAACCGAATCCACTTTGATAAATTTTGAAGAGCAAAAGCTAGAGAGATCTTGGCATTAAATTATATATTGGCTGTGCTCCATCTTTTCCAAGGTCGGATGAGCCTCCGCTCATCGTTAGCTGAGCGCATTTATCCCCCGTAGCCATTGCCCGGTAGGCAGCATTGCTGTGCAGCACTGTGAGTCACATCTAGTGGGGAGTTAATTTCCTAATGAATGTGGACAAACGGGTGAACCTTGGCTCCCTTGCTTTTGCATTTCTATGAGGTGAGAGATGTGCCTCTCAGTTCGATTCTCAAATAAGAGCTGAAGACTCAGTCTCCTTCATTTGCCCTTGCTGCCCTTCCAGCATCTGGTGCTGGGTGGTGGTGATCATGCAAGACCACTGCTGGTCTTCTCAGAACCTTTGTCAGCCCACCTCCCCCTGCCTTCTTTGTATGGCCAACCGAGGCTCTCCACCTCAATGTCAAGTGCAAACGCAGCTTCAAGTCAAGGCCTCTTCAAACCTGCCCTGTCCCACCTCAACCCATATACTGCGCCTCAGCTCCTCCTGTCCAGCAGCAGTACCCTAGAGGTTAAGGGTGCAGACGAGATGCCATATTCGTTTTTACTAGCTATGTGACCTTGAGCAAATTAATCAGCCCCCATATGCTTGGTGCTTTCTTCATTGGTAAAATGGGGGTATTAATAGTACCTCCCTCATAGGATTGTCATGAAGATTAAATGCATTAACATATGTAACACACTGTATGTGAGCTTCTTGAGACTGCGCTGTGTTTGTGCTGTTAGTGTCACTGATGCTAGTCTCATGACAGGTGTAGCTGAAACAAATCAATTCCAAACAGGGAAAAGCTTGTGGCCCAGAAGTCAAATAGCTGAAGAGCAAGCTGCGGGTAACAATCAATATATCTGAGATTGTTTTCCCCCAACAAATGTTTTCAAATGTTTATTGAATAATATATCAATACCTTAAATAAATTGAGGCAATCGACCCCTCCAGTCCTCCCAGCTCAGGCCCCCACCTCCCCTTATAGGTGACCCGTGTTGGTACTTTGGTCCTTTTTGTCCAGATCTTTCTCTGTCCGTTGTTACTCTTATGCAAGCACCCAGGTAGCACATCTGGCCTGGTGTTTCTGTTTTATTGTTGTTTATTTATTCTTTCTTATAAAACACGCTATGTACATCTTTCCATACTTGATTTTTTCTCACCGAGTTCTATCATTAAACATATCAAAACTATTCAACATTTTTTAAACCCTGGTGCGTGGTGTTCTCTTACGGATCACAGTTCATTTAGCCATTCTCTTTTGGTGGACGTTTTGGTTTTTCTCAACACTTTGCGGAGGTGAACCATGGTGCCACACACATCCTTGATCAAGTGTGGGGTGTTTCTTTAGCTTTAATATCTCGGGAACAAATTTAACACACCCTGCCACAGGGCCTCCTAAAGAGGCTGTGCTGTACAACACCCACTGCCCAGCAGTGTCCCAGGCCGTTGGTGCCGAGCTCTCCTGTGCAAATATATGATACTCAGAAATCAGTTGAACTCTCTGGTAAAAAACCCCCTCACCAGCGCCCTAAAGGTCTTCCCTGATACATCTTCACCTCCGGTTTTTGCTTTTCAGAATCCTTGAGCTCGATCTGATTGTCAGAGATGAAGATGGAAATATCCTGGATCCTGATAATACCAGCGTCATCAGCTTGTTCCATGCACACGAGGAAGCAACCGATAAAATCACAGAGCGTATCAAGGAAGAAATGGTGAGCTTTGTTAAATGGGCTTTGGCCAAGGGAGGCAGCCACTTCGCACATCGTAAACTTAAAATAATAGGCTAATTATCCAGACTGTGTATTGTTCAAGGGCCATCTGTCTATGACCCCTGATGATCAGTAACCACACGCATTTTGTTGTGGTTTTGCACTGAAATCTGTAATTCATTCAGCATCCATCTCAGGTAGTTAAATGCCAGGTGAGTTTCCTGATCTCTTGGAGCTTTTAGATTCCAGAGAGAAAAATAGAAGAAAGGTAATAAAAAAGTAAATAAATAAATGAAAAAATTAATTCCAGATGGTGGTAAGTTTCTAAAAAGGCAATAAACTAGGGTTATGTGAATCAGAGAGACTCAGAAGCTGCTTTAAAAGTCGTGGCCAGGAAAGGCCTCTCTCACGAGTGACATCTGAGCTGACACCTGAATAATGTGAAGGCACCAGGCCTGGGAAGATCTGGCGACAGGGTGTTTCAGGCAAAAGGCATGGCAAGTGCAAAGGCCTTGAGGTAGGACCTCCTCTTGAATGTTCAAGGTGTAGAAAGGCCAGGGTGGATGGGCATGGTGAGCAGTGAGGAGTATAGGCAATGGTATAGAGAGTTAGGTGGCAGGAGCCAGCTCTCAAAGGACCTGAGGGGTTGTGGAAAAGGGTTAAGATGTTATTCCAAATGTGATGGGAAATCAATGAAAGATTTCAAGGAAAGGTTAATCTGATTCATATTTTTAAAAAATTATTTTAGCTGCTGTGTATTACTTGAAAGCAATTTTATTTTTAGATTTATTAAGGTATAATTCTCACACAATAAAATTCACTTATTTTAAACTACACTTTAATGAATCTTAGTAATATACAGTGTTGGATAACTCCACCACAATCAAGATATAGAAGAGTTCTACCACCCTAAAAGTTTCTTTGTGCTCTTTTAATGTCCCCAAACCCCAGGCCACCCTTAATTTTCTTTCTGTCACTCTAGTTGTGCCTTTTCTAGAGTTTCATATAAATGGAATCATACAGTATTAGTTTTCTGTGTTTGACTTCTTTCACTCAGTGTAATGTTTTTGAAGTTTATGTTGTGCATATCAACATTTTGATCTTTTTTATTGCTGAATCAATACACCACTGAGCACTTGTCAATGCACATAGTGTTGACCAATTGTTGGGCATTTGGGTAATTTCTGGTTTGGGGCTTTTATAACTAATGCTGCTATGAACATCTGCAGACAAATCTGTGTGTGAACATGTTTTCATTCCTTTTGGATAATATTTAGTAGTGGGATTGCTGGATCATATAATAAGTATATGTGAAACTTTTTAAGGTACTACTATACTACTTCCAAAAATAGCTGTACAATTTTTGTCAGCAATATAGGAGAGTTCCAGTTGTTCTGCATTCTTTCCAACACTTGGTATTATCAGTCTTTTTAACCTTAGCTATCATAGTGGTTGTGTAGTGTATCTTATTGCAGTTTTAATTTTCATTTCCCTGATGACCAGTGATGTTCAGTCCTCTTCATATGCTTACTGGCCTTTTCCATTTGTATCTTCTTTTGTGAAGTGTCTGATCAAATATTTTATCATTTTAATTGGGCTGTTTTCTTTATGATTAGTTGTAAGTGTTATTTGTATATTCTAGATAAAAGTATTCATTCGATATGTTTTGTAAATTTTTCCCAGTGCCTTGCCTTTTCATTTTTAAATGCGTCTTTCAGAGAGCAAAAGTTTACAGTTTTGGTGAAGTCCATTTAAGCAATTTTTTTCTTCTATGGTTTACATTTTTTTATGACAGTAACTTTATAAGGAAGGCTGGGTCAGTGGTGGTATTTCTCAAGATGGGAAAATACAGGCCAAGAGAGTCAGTTACTTGACTCAGACTGCAGAACGTTTTGGTGGTAGAGCTGGGCATGAGGCCGAAATCTTCAGGCTTGAGTTTAAGCGGTTCTCCACCACCCGGATTATCTCCGTATTGTCGTACGTGGAGCTGGGCTGATTTTCCATCTTCCTCTCTTCTTCCTTCCACCTCTCAGTCAAAAGACCAGCCAGACTACGGAATGTATTCCCGCATCTCCTCGTCCCCCACCCACAGCCTCTATGTTTTTGTGAGGAACTTCGTGTGCAGAATTGGGGAAGATGCCGAGCTCTTCATGTCTCTCTATGACCCCAACAAGCAGATGGTCATAAGGTAGGTGTATGCAGGGTGTCTGTCCTGTAGGTGCCGGAAGCAGCGCGCAGAACACCTTTTCTTTCCTTCACCGCTGGTGGAGCAATTCCCACCTGGAAGAGAAGCTGGCCCTAGCTGAGAAATAACTCCTCAGTGGAAATAACTCCTTTGAAGTGTATGGGAGGCAGGTAGAAGTATTACTTGCCACCAGACTTTTCCCACACTGGGGTTATGGTTGCGGGGTTTTGTAAAATAGGTTTCCATTACAGAAAACAACCAGCAATAACAAGAGTCAGACAGGTAGCATTGGATAGAATAAAAACACGTACTTTTAAAGTAGGAGTTGGGGAATGAATGGCGATAACTCCAAATCCTCCATGGCAGCAACATGCTAAGAGTATAGGCTCTGAGATTTGGCTAGGTTCACATCTTGGCCTCACCCTTTACTCTTTCTTAACGTTGGGCAGGTTGTTCATCTTTTTTAAGCCTGAGTTTCCCATTTGCACAATGTGAGTGCCGACCTCACGGGCTGCAGTGAGAAAAAGCACGTGACACCCAAGGCCTGGCACGAGGTGCCCGTGCTGCAGCTGCGGTGCTGTTGTTAGACTTTCGTTCAGTTCATGGCTCTGGGAATGGAGGAAGTGAGGGCACTCCGGGGAGCCTCTGCCCGAGGAAGGGAAAATACTCCTGGGGATCTCCAGGGCAGAGACCTTGGTGCGCCGCCAGCCCCCACCGCCGGCCCCCTGGCCTCTGCTTGTGGCTCAGACCATCCTTCCTCCCAGGTGACCGCTGCCTGTCCTCTCCAACACCTGGTCTCATATTTGAGGTCACTGACTGACGTATTAGCATAGAGTGTGGACATGATCTCTCTGCCTTTATGGCAAAAAATGGAGGAAATGTTGTCTTCCTAGCTTGGTTGTTATGATGAGTAAACAAAATAAGATGCAGTGCCCAGGGAACAGTGGTGCTTGAGCAAATAATGGCTCTCCTGGAGACGTATGGGAGACAGGGAGGGGCTGTCTGTCTAAGACTGTGCTGAGTTCTGTACATGATCTTGTTTAATCCTCATTACTCCATGTCATTAGGGTGAGAAAATGAGGCTCGGGGAGATCAAGCAATGTGCCCAAAGTCACACATGTTTATAAATGGCAGGACTTATACCCAGGTCCATCTGACTCCAAAGACAAGCTATTTTCCACTTACATCTGTCACCAAGGAGCAAGTTGGGTCACATATTCTGAATGGTTCTCAACAGGGTTGTAGCACTGTTACGGTGGAAAGCTACTCTTTATAGTGCACCTAAGTCCCTAATATTAAAGAGTCACCTTGGCTGGGTGAGGTGGCTCATGCCTGTAGTCCTAGCACTCTGAGAGGCTGAGACGGGAATTGCTTGAGGTCAGGGGTTCAAGACCAGTTTGAGCAAGAGCAAGACCCTGTCTCTACTAAAAATGGAAAAATTAGCTGGGTGTCATGGCACGTGCTTGTTGTGGCCTCAGCTTGGGAGACTGAGGCAGGAGGATCGCTTGAGCCCAGGAGTATGAGGTTGCAGTGAGCTATGATGAAGCCACTGTACTCTACTCAGGGAGACAGAGGGAGACTCTGTCTCCAAGAAAAAAAAAAAAAGAGTCAGCCTAATTCACCTGGCTCGGCCTCAGTGCACAATGAGAATGAGTGTTCCTGGTTCCTTATAGCCCGTCTTCAAATGGGTTGTGTGTGACAGGCCCATTGCTGTTCCCAAGACACCTGTGAAAAAGGTCCCGAAAGTGCTCTGTGGACCCTCCCTGCCTCTCAGGAATCACAGGGACTCCTTGTGGCCACATTGACCAGGAAGCCTGTCTGCTGGCCCATCTTGGTGACAGGTGGCTGGACTGGCTTTGTGGAAGGAGGTGATGGCTCAGCAAAGGGGTGGCTGTGCTCCCTGCTGTGCCACCCTGTATGCTGTGCTCATGGGATGTGCCTGAGGGAGGCCTCTGAGGGTGTCGGAGACACGGGACAGCCCTGGGAAGAGTGGGAACGAGAGCAGGAGGAGGACAAAAGGGGAGGAAACCAGCAACAGTGCAAAAGAGGAGAGAGCAGAGGAAGAGAGAAGAGGCCAGACACAGGGCCGGGAGGGGAATGTGGGAGCCCTCCCTGTGTCAGTCGGCTCTGGAGAGCGGCTCCTGCTGCTCCTCCCACTGCTCTGGCCGGGCTGACACACAGTGAGTAGCAGGGAAGCTGAGGCACCCTCTGTGTGGCCCGCGTGTGCACCAGGGAGAATTTGGCTGGGACTGACCTGACCTCTCGCTGTTGGGCCGAATCATGGTCAGATCCCCAGTGGATCCCTTTTGGCGTCATGTTGGACACTGTTTGGGAAACTTACAGTAAATTTTTGTAGGACAAAAAAGAAGCAGTTCAGGTATGAGCCTGGTAATAAGGCTCGTGTCTACAAAGAGATCATGCAGGACTCGGAAAGGTCCCCCTTCCTCTGAGGAGGTGTCGTCTGGAGGAGGTCTCACCCGCCTTCAGATTCTATCACCCACATCTGCCCTGGCGAGGATGGATGGGGCCAGTTCAGCCCTCTAAATTGCTTTTCTTATTTATGACTGTAGTTCTCCTAGAAGAAAATTGTTGGTACCTGCTGCTTAGATATAGCGTGTTGGGTCACTAAAGGGTTTGCTACATGTGGTGGAAGGTATTAGAAAATACCCGGGCATTTCACTAAGAACAGTACAGAAATAACCAATGAGAAGTACAGAAATAACCAATGACAAAGCATTTAAAATAAAAAAAAAAAATTTCTTTTTGGATTCAGCCTTCCTGGTTAGTTTGCTGCAAATTCCACTAAAATTTTTAGATCTTACTGAAAAAAAAAAAAAAAAAAAAAAAAAGGTACGTTTAACTTGATTGAGTATTAACCATTGGTTAATCCAGGGCCATTGTTTGTCTTTGCTGTTAGTTCAGTTTCCCCCTTGAACTTTGCCCAGACAACCTTGTAGGGGTGAGTGCAGAGAAAGGAGCAAGACGTCAGAGAGAAGAAAGCTCTAAAAAGAAGGCAATTCCCTTTAATGGTGCTGAATTCTCTTTTACCTTCTTGGGCTAACTTGGTTTTTGAATTTTTTTTTATTTTTTTTTTCTAATTCAAAATAATAGGGCATTTATTTGGCACCAAATACATGCTCCTAGGTGGCATGGAAAATCTAATGATGCAACTCAGCAACCTGTACTAAGCTTCCTCTAACTAGTAAGTGCTAGACTGCTCTATTTTCTTGGTGTGGCTACACTGACAGCTATGAACCATGCAGGGTGGTGTATGGTTGCCAGAAGGTGTGAGGTGGTAAATGAGCATATATCAGAGCCATGTGACTGCCCCCCTCATAATACCCTTGGGTGGGTTTCCATGACTCAGCATCCTGTCAAAAATCACTGAATGGCCTCTAAAGCCTACTTGGTCTGGCCTCTCCCTTTGATTTTTCTTTTATCACTTTCCCCTTGAATCTGTTTCTTAGCTGCATCAAGCTCCTTCCTGCCTCATGGCCTTCACACACACGTTTACTCTGCCTGAGACATTTTCCTTACTAACTTTATTACCTGTCATTCCCTTAGCAAAGTCCTCCCTGTCCACCCAGACTAGGTCAGGCCCTTTTGATAAACATTCTCACCACATCCTGGACTTTTCCTTTGTGCGTATCCCTTATCCAAAATGCTTGGGACCAGAAGTGCTTTGAATTTCAGATTTTTTTCAGGTTTTGGAGTATTTGCATTATATATACTTACCAATTGAGCATCACTAATTTGGAAATTTGAAATCGAAGATATTCCAATGAACATTTCCTTTGAGCATCATGTTGACGCTCAAAAAATTTTAGATTTTGGAGCATTTCTGGTTTCATATTTTCAGATTAGAGATGCTCAACCTATAGCACAATTTTATGTAAATAGCGTCACACAGCTGCATTTAAATACTTGTTTAATTGACATTTAGGTAATGCCTAAGGCCCTATATGGTCCATCACAGCATGACAGTCCATTCAAGGAGACAGTACTACACTCAAAGGGTAACCTAAAATAATTCAAATCTTTACTTAGTCTTGAAAGGGGAATGGGCTGGAAAGGGCAGATGTATTCTTAATGTTCAGTAAAACATACTAAAATCCTTCCCCCTTCATCTCTGCCACTCTCAGTAACCTCTGCAGAGTATGCAGCTGCTCTTCAAAAGTATTAGACAGCTGTGCCAGAATTTGCCTAGCAGATGGGGGAGGGAAAGAGGTTGTGAAAACACACACGTTAGTAATTCTTTGCCCCTGCCCGTCTAATGTCTGTCTCCCAATGCGACCGATCTCTTGGAGGGAAGGAAGGACCATGCCTGTCTCAAACACCACTGTGTCCCCAGCAGCCAGCACGGTGTTGGGCACCTAGCAGAGGCTCAGGGAATATTTTGCTGAATGCACGCCGAGCCCCGGCAGTAACAGGCTGCCGCTCTTCTTCCCACAGCGAGAACTACCTGGTGCGATGGGGCAGCCGGGGCTTCCCGAAGGAGATCGAGATGCTCAACAACCTGAAGGTGGTCTTCACGGTGAGTGTGCACGCTCTTCTCACCTCACTCCACGCTCACAAGGGCGTGATCTCGGCTTGAGGCTGGTCGGTCGGTCAGGATGGAGCGTGGCCTTGGCGCAGAGCCCTGTTCTGGGCTTTATGCAGAGATTCGACGCTGATCAAGGACATCGTGTGCCCTGAGGAAGCCTTTGGGAACATAGATTTGCTCCTTCTCCATCTGTCTTCCTCCCTGCCTAGCTCTTTCTCACTCTTGTACACGCAGGGAACGCATGCGGAGTGCTGTGTGAACAGGCACAAAGCCCTTTGGGCAATGGTGCCTAGGTGAACCGGGTACAACAGCCATTTCAATTTTCCAGTTAATTCATGGTTAGGCTGAGTCCCTTTCTTTGGTTTAGGCCTTTCTGAAAACCTTTCTGTAGTATATCAGAAAAAAAAAATAGGACCTTCCAGAACATTGACTCGGACACCCTGAGCATGATGAAGTCATAGAGGACTCAAGGTCTGGCAGACCCTTAGGGTCATCCTTCCAAATACCAGTGCTCACTGGCAAGATTCATATATAGAAATGTTGAAATCAATTGTTATTTGGATGATTTATTTCTGAGCGTGAACCTGGCTTTTTAGCTCTAAATGGGGATAACAATGGAAAGAGGAGATAAAAAGCGTTATAGTTCCCAGCAGAGACCGCTCTCTTGTCCTGTCTGCACAAGGCTGTGTTAAGAGTGTGATCTTCAGACACCTAAGCATATTGGTATTGTCCACAAGCTCCTTTGGAGAGAAAATCATGCGTGACACTTTCCCTGCATTGCCTGTGTTAGCAAGAGAAATTGCAGAGGAGGAGCCGGGGAGGGATCTGGGCTTTGGCCGAAACCGATGAGCTGCATCCAGGAGTGACCGACATGCTAGATTAACCTTCCTCGCTCTGCAATAATTTTCCAGTTACAGCCTGTTCAGGGCAATGTCTTACGTTACATCGTCATTAGATTGGGGTAGAGCTGATTTATTTTGTTTGTTATTTTCTAAAAAACTGGCCAGAGGCATGGAATAGGATCATAGGCCCTAATTGCTTAGACGATGTTTTCCTGGCATATATAAATGTGCCTCAATCTGGTTTATCTATTGTTAGTTAGAAGGAGGAGCCTATTTATTTTCTTGATAAATAGGAGAGTCTCATGGGGCTTCCTGATTAAACCACGAGACAGATGTTTCATGAGAGGGAGAAGGACGGGGAATCAATCAGTGGTTCATTTTGCAGAGAACCGATTCGTGATGTAAACATGAGGGAAAGAGCATCAGTGAATTTGCGTCATTCGGTGTTAACGAGAATGGGATCCTGCCTTCATGGTGGAATCCTGCTGGTGCCATGCCTCTGCTCCTCAGAACAAGTGACTTGAGAGCTTGGCTGACTGGTTCAACAGGCTCCTTCTGCTGAGATGATCAGAGTCTTTGTTTTGGGATGAGGAAAGTCATGGCGCTCTCAGGTGTTGATCCAGTAGCTGTGCGATGAGGACCTACTGTGTGTAAGCCCCACGCTAGGTGCCGGTGAGACGGCAGTGAACTAGCTAAAGCGGCCCCTGCTTTCATGGGGCAATGGGGTGAATTAAGATGACAAATATGTGAATAAATAAACAAGAGCAATGCCAGAAAGCAATTCAAGCAAGGCAGATAATTAAAACAGGCTGATGTGATGGTGTTTGACTGGAAGTTACTTTCCACTGGGTGTCAAGGTGGCGTTTCAATTAGAGATGAGATAAGACTTGGCAGGCGTGTGCCTTGCTGGCCTTGTCTTCCTGTCTGGATGCTGGCTCTGCCTAGTGTCTTCGGGGACAGGCTTCCAGCTCCCGGAGCCCGAGGAGCTGGCATGTGGGTCCAGCGACTGTTCACTTTCCCTGTGTCTGTTTTATAAGGCTTCGCCCTCCCTGGCCCTGTAAGAGGAAAGCAGCGTATAGCAGGAGGTTCCCTAAGACCTAGCCCAGTTTGGGGGCGGCTGCTAACATGCAGGAAACAAGAGCGACAATAAGGGAGCACTCACGAATTACTAAATCAGGCGACACGCGCTCCGGGTTCCATTGCCCTGCTTCCCCAACACATCCAAGTTTTATAAGGCCAGAGTAGAAAAGACTGGGGACACCGCAGACTGGCACATCTGAGAAAGGGCTGCCCATTTACGCACCCTCCAGAGAATGATAATAAAATGCCCAAGCATGTTGCTTGAGTTTGCATAACATGTTAAGACCCTCCGGTGCAGGGGTGGGGGGCTCTCCAGAGAGACAGTGCTTAAAGATCTGGCATCTTCCTTTGAGCAAGTAAAATGTTTTTAGAGAAGGGGGTGGAATGGGGGCTTATATAGGAATCTCACGGGTTTATCTAGCATATTAGCTTGCTAAGCCTGCCGTAACAAAGTATCACGGATTGGTTCACTTAAACAACAGGTATTTATTCCCTCACAGTCCTGGAGGCTGGAAGTCTGAGGTTGCGTTGTTGGGTAGGTTGGTTTCTCCTGAGTCCTTTCGTCTTGGTTTGCAGGTGGCCGACTCCTCCTTCTGTCTTCACCATGATCTTGCCTCTGTGTGTGTCTCTGCCCTAATATCTTCTTAGAAGGACACCAGCCATATTAGATGTGGACCCACTCTAATGACCTCTTTTTAACTTAATTACCTCTTTAAAGACCCTGTCTCCAAATGCAGTCACATTCTGAGTTACTGAAGATTAGGACTTCAATATATGAATTTTGAGGGGTGAGTGGGTAGAACAGGGATGTTATTTAGCCATAACATCTTGGAATCTTTCAGATGCCAGGGCCTCTGTGGCTCTGGAATGCCTCTGAAAGACACAATCTAGATATCTCAAAAGTATGAATAATCCTTACGGGAAGAGACAAGTAATTGGGGACGAAGGCCCTTCTAAAGGAAGCAGGATTTGAGTTTCTAAGATGGAAGGGACTTGGGTATGGAGAAGAGGAAGAGGCAGGCATTGGAGGCAGAGGTGTGGGAAGCCGTGGTTGGGGAGAAAGATCCAGAGTTGGATAAACCTGTGTGCTTATGGAGCAATAAAGAAATTGTTGTGAGAAAAATGGAGTTCTTATATTCCAAGAATAGTGGGGAATTGGTTGGATAGGACAGCTGGATCTATCTTGTCTAGGCCCTTTCCCATCCGCTGGGAAAGATAAGAACTCATAGGGTAGGTAATAGGGAGCTATTAATGTTGTTGTGTGGAGAGAAATGAAATAATACATGAGACGTCTAAAGGCCAGTTTGTAAAAGATTTCAGGCTGGGGTGGAGGGAAGAGTCAAGCAGGCCAGAGAAGAGGCTGTTCAACCATCTGGATGTGAGATAACTGGGACCTCAGACTCAAATGCCTATGGGGTAAGGCCGATGAGTGGAGGGGGCTCTCTTAGCCTGAAAGCCCACTCCTCCCCGCCTTTCCTCTCTCCCTGGCCAGGAGTGAGAGGTGGGAGAGGAGAGAAGCACGTACGTGTCCATTCCTCCAGCTGGGTGAGGGACAGCACTTGTGCCAGTCAGGGTTCTCCAGAGAAGCAGAATCAGTAGGATATATGTTTGAAATCTGTAGGGCAGGCTGGCGGGCTGGAAATGCAGGTGGGATTTCTATACTACAGTCTTGAGGCAGAATTCCCCCTTCTCTGGGAGACCTCAGTTTTTGCTCTTAAGGCCTTCAACTGATGGGATGAAGCCCATGGCAATTTGGAAAGTAATTTCCTTTACTTAAAGTTAACTGATTGTAGATGTTAATCAGGTCTACAAAATACCTTCACAGCAACATCTAGAATGGTGTTTAACCAAATAACTAGGCACCATAGCCTAGCCAAGCTAACACATCAAATTTAGCCATCGTGGCACTCAAGCAGGAAGGTGTGGATCACATCAAGGCCTTGCCTTGTTTCCAGAGACTGTGCACACCCCCACTCCCTTCCTCCCAAACCAGCCACAGTCAGAGGCTGGGGGCAGCTGCTCTGCCGGGCCTTGGGTCTGATAGCTTGTTCTCAGTGCATATGCCCACACAAGAAGTAACTTGGAGGAGAAGAAACTGGTGAGGCTGGGCCCATTGTTCTCTGCTCTGATGCCAACAGTGTGTCTGGTTGTTCCTTCCCTAGGTGATCCCAGCTGATGGGGGTCTCAGGATCACTGAAGCTTTTATCTTTGAGCAGAGCAGCCAGGTGTTCCCTCCTGTGTGCCTTTCTGATGGCAAGGGAGCTATAAAGTAGTAGCTATGTTTGTGATCTTTGGTGTCACAGTGACTGGGCTCAAAGCCCAGAGTCTCATGGGCTAAAGTTATGACCTTGGAGAAGCTCCTTATCTTCGTTGTATCTCAGTTTCCTCATCTGTAAAATGGGGAGGCAATAACTGTATGTACTTCAGAGAGGTTAGGTATCAAATACGATGAGGATGTCTGAGCCACTTAGCACAGTGCATGAGACATTAGTGCAGCTCACGAGTTTCAGCTTTTCTCCTCCTGAATACACAGCTGAGTGCAGTTCCCTGCACACTTAAAGTTAGGTGGGCCACGTGCCTTGCTTTGACCAATGAAATGCAAACAGAAGTGATGTGCATCTCTTTCCGGTGGAAGATTTAAGAGCCTGTAAGTGATTTTCCATGTTCCCTTCCCCTGCTACAGGGACAGTGGAAGCACCTGTGCTGAGATAGATCTGTCAGCCAGGAGCCCAGAGTAAGTGAGTGAGCAGAGCCCCCACCCACCTGCACTGGGCCCGCAGCCTGCACTAGCAGTAATCACTAGTATTATCAGCTCTGACATATTGGGGTCATTTGGTACCACCACAACCCAGCCGATGTGTTGAGTAAGTGGTAGCTGCTATTATCTCCCTCTTCCTTTGGCCTTCTCGCGCAGAGGTGCTGAGCAGTGATGAGACCGTTGGAGTCACGTGTAGCAAATGCTATTTTGGGATCCATCACCTTGCATACAGGGAATCCTGCCCATACAACCGATACCGTACTTCGACCCTTCTCTCTTCCTGTCAGTTTGAGGTGGAAGAGTTGGGATTAAGCACCAGAGTCGTCTCAGTCAGTGTCCTTTGCAAACCTCACTTTTCTTATCTATGAAATGGGTATGTGAGAGCCTTGTTTTCTACCTTTTGCACGACTGATTGTATGATTGGCGCACGCATACCACATATTAAGCGCATCCCTCAGAAATGACCATTCCTGGGTTTTCTTTTCCACTTTCTTTTCCGTTCAGCATGTGATGTGTGCCTCTTTGTTTCCTGCCCCACAGGATCTTGGAAATAAAGACCTCAACAGAGATAAAATTTACTTGATTTGTCAAATAGTCCGAGTTGGGAAGATGGATCTTAAGGATACCAACACAAAGAAGTGCACGCAGGGACTGAGGAGGCCCTTTGGGGTGGCAGGTAATGTCACACTCTGCACCACTAACTTTTATTGGAACGCACATTTTGAATGGCTACATTTTAAAGATTACTTCTCTCCCCCTCCCCCAGCCGCCCCCACCCCTGCAAAATTTATGCCCGACAGCCATTAATAACTACATTGCTGGTGACTAAATCGAGATAATTGGTGACTAAGTCCAGATTTATGATGCGTACAGTGAGTAATGGGATCCTCGTGTCTGGAGCGGAGCACTGGGGGCGCGGCGCCGTCTGAGCAGTTGGCGCCTTCGCTCCCCAGTGCCATTAAAAAGGAAAAACAATACAGGCAGGATCTAATTATGAGGAGCAAATCATTTAAAAAAAAAATATCCAGGACAGGAAATGCAGTTACGCAGAGTGAGTCACCTCCCATCCATCTAGATTCCAGATGGAAGTGGACGTGTGGAGGGTGGTGTGACCCGGCGCAGAGCCCCACGCGAGGCCGCCACAGTGGCTCCTCATTTCTCGCCGAGCCTTAGCTTCCTTGGGGTTTTCAGGGCTTCATCATTCTTGTCCCACTTTTATGGGGTAAATAACCCACACTGTTATTTCCCTAATATATTTTCTTTTAATCGACCCACTTTATTTAAGCCAAAGCACATTTTTCTTAAAAGACAATTTACCTGTGAACATGGCAATTTGATATGCCAGTTTTATTCTTTTATTAAAGTATAAATTTTTAATAGTGCACCGTTTATAATTTCTGTGTACTGTGTCTCAACTCAGGGTCTGAAGCTCCTCACTTCGGATGCCCTGACCTGCAATCAAAGCCCCGCTGGCTCTGCAGCTGCGCCCCTGGCACCACTAGCGGAGTGGGGGAGGGGAAGACGTTGAGCTGAGCTAACTGACTCTGTCGATAGCTAGCCAGTCAGGTGGTCAATTTCAGCGTATGCCAAATGAGGGATCCATAACTTGGACCTGGTTAATCCATGACATCCCCTCCTGCTCTAAAATGCTCTGATTCTATCTGTGGGACATTCCTGATATCACATTGTTCCTGTTAAGGCAGTGAGGGTCCTCCAACCTTCTTTCAAAGTGCGCCTTTGTCTTCAGCTGTAGTCTGCTCTCTCTCTTGGTGTCAGGTGGCGGAAATCTGATCTCAACTGGAAGAAGCAAAAAAAAAAAATAACTCTATTTACTGGTTTAACTGAAAGGTTTAGAGACAGACTACTTCAGGCATAGCTGGATCCAGGAACTCAGATAAACTTGCCTCCTTCTTGCTCAGCGCCTATGTCCTCATCCTGGCTTATTATGAAGATGACTGTCCAATGAGTTGGCAAAATACCGGCCATCTGTTCCAAGCTTGCATCCTATCACTTAGCAGCCCAGTGGAAAGAATGTACCTCTTTCTCGTTAGTTTCAGCAGCAGCCCCGGGAGCTGTTGTGTTCATCTCAGAAGCAAATACTCTGGGTGGAGGATATGATTCTCTGATCCTCCAGGCCAGGTCATATGAACAACCCTGGAGCCATAGGGAGAGCGCCCTTCCCAAAGTACCGGCAGTGAGAATGGGCAAGGAGGGTCTGTGACTCAGAGAGTGGATGCTGGTCAGACTCAGACAGTTCCTCCTCCTGCCCGCTCTCTGACCCCTCTCTCTAGCTGGATGCAGTCGGTGGTCCATTATTACACAAGCAATTTTAATGGCTCCCTGACCAGTGCCTGAGTGTTTGAGGTATTTTATGTTACCAGGGTGTGGGCTCTATTTGAGCAGCTTTTCTCAGCCCTCTCTCCAGCTCCCCCTTCCTCTAATGCCCACTCTAGGGCAGGAGTGCTTTACCTTGGTTTTATGGACCTTCAGTGGCTGAGATAAGAAGTTTCAGAGGATCCACAGTCCCTCTGGAATTTCAGAATATTTCATTAGGTTCTCAGATCCTACAGAGACCCAATCGCTGCAGCTGGGTTTTGTAGGCACAGCAGACACTCAGTACATATGTGTCCTATCCACACCTAATTGCCTAATTCCATACCCACTGCTCTGAGGCTTTCCTCGTGGCCTCTGCGCAATCATGGGGCTGCTGGATGCTTCCCTGGCTGCCCACCTCCCGGCCTGCTCTGCCCAGAGCCCGTTGTCCGGGTGCTGCCTGCGGGGAACCTGCGCTGTGTGTCATCCAGCGCTGGCTTGCTCTCCTTTTTAGGCCTTTCTGACCCCAGGCAGCCTGGGCCCTGCCTCCTTCCCTAAAGTGTCCTCCCATTGTCATCCCATCCTGTGAGCAGGGGCATATCGAACCAGTGATTCATTTGTCTCCTCTTTCTAGTGATGGATATAACAGACATCATCAAGGGGAAAGTAGAGAGTGATGAAGAAAAGCAGCACTTCATTCCTTTCCACCCGTAAGACATTTCTCATTTCTTTCCATTCTCTTCAGTCACACCCTTTGTCACCACGGGTGGCCTGAGCACACAGCGAACTGGTTCCCTGCGTCAGTGAGAGGCAGGCTGAGCACGGTGGGCTCGGCGCCCAGGCTCTTCTCCCGTTCATTCATCAGATGTTATTTTATTCAACAGACTTTTACTGGAGGCCTGGCAGAGGCTGGCACTGTGCTAGGCGTGCGGGATGAAGGGGTGCATAAGATTGGCGTGGCCCCGTCTTCATGGAGCTCACAGTTTAGAGGGGGAATTAAACAGGTATTCAACAGAAGGTTAACGCATCAGTTAGTTACAAGTGCAGCAGCGTAGCAGGAGCACGTGACAGGGAACCCTAGCCAGGTTCTCACGGGCAGATAGACACATCGCTGACTTAGAACAGGGGTGGTGAGGAAGGCAAAGATCCTCTCCTTGCTCTAAAAGGAGTCTCTGAGAAAGCAGGACCCCGAGTTTGAGAGCAATGCCAATGCTTAGTAACCCCAAGGATGGTCCACGTCCTGAGGCCAGTGACTTTGGATAAGGCACGTGGTAGAACGTAGCAGGAGCAGCTACAGTCTTTGCCACCTTGCCGAGCAGACACTCATGTTGAGGGCTTGGGAGTCCTTCCTTCTTTAAACATCTTCCTAGGGAATAAAAATATGGCCTCCACTTGTGGCATTGGTATTCCCAAATTTCAGAGCCACATTGCTTCGTGAAAAGAGTGATGTGTTCTTGTTGGCATATGTATTCCCTGAGCTGACACAGGCAGGCTCGCTTTTCACCAAAGCCCTCTGGAGGGGTTGGGGAGTTCCCTAGAGCACCTCACACCACAAGTTGGGGACCCCTGGTAGGTAGCATGCACACACTTTGTGCTCTCTTTTCCTTTCCAGGGTCACAGCCGAGAATGACTTCCTACACAGCCTGCTGGGCAAAGTCATAGCCTCCAAGGGGGACAGCGGAGGGCAAGGTACTATGCTGACAGGCTGAGCCTCCCCCAGCCCGGGAGCCCTGAACTCCCTAGCAAGCAGATAAAAATCCTGAACCCTGGGAAACTAACCTCCTTCCGCACAGACCCCTGGGAGGCATGGGAGCATGGGATCCATAGGGATGGAAGCTAATTGGAGACATGTCCGAGTGCCTAAAGGAAGACAGGAATTAATACATCCTGAATATCTCCTGTGTGTCAGACACTCTAATAAGTGACCTTGTTTGATTTCATCCTGACCCCAGTCCTGTGAGACAGATGGTGTCATTCTCACTTAAGAAAAGATAGGGTTAGAGGGGTGGGATAATTTGTCAGAGGCTGACACTGCTCGGAGTAATCAGTGGCATTCAGACCCAGAGGCGTCTTGCTCCAGATCCCCTCCCCTCCCCGGGCTGGGTCACTGCGTCTGTGGCCATATGGTTCTGCCTCCAGTGGTCTCCTCCAGAAAGAGACAGGAGGCAGAGGTCAGGGGAGGGTAGACTGAGAGGACACCTTGAAGAAATTGGGTCTTCATGGTGAGTGCTCCCTTCCAGGTCTCTGGGTGACCATGAAGATGCTCGTGGGTGACATCATTCAGATCCGCAAAGACTATCCACATCTGGTGGACAGGACCACCGTGGTGGCCAGGAAGCTGGGCTTCCCAGAGATCATCATGCCAGGTGGGACACAGCTGCTCTGACCTTCCCCTGGGGGATGGGGGCAATTCAGCTTATCTGATGCATTTTTTTTTAAAGAGTCAGTGCCTTCTTTTTCACCGCCTCTCTATGTCTCTCCCTGAAGGTAACCACTGAAAACAATTTTTTTATATCCCAAAACATCTATGCATTCACAAAATGAACAGAAACACATAAATATACACACATGTACTTTTTCTTCACTAATGGGATCACATTTTATATACTTTATATATCCTCACTTAATAATATACTTTATATAGTGTTCTGCAACTTGCTTTATCACTTAATAATTTATTATGGACATCATTTCTACTTTACTACATGCAGAACAATTCCACTTTTTCTGGGGGAATATTGTCATTCTCTTAAATTTTTAAGCTATTTTTTTTATTACTAAAAGAATTCGTGCTCGTTGTAAAATATTCAAATGGCGTGAGAAGGTATAAAGTGAAATGTTAAAAGCTCCCTCAAATCTTTGCTTCCAGAAGTAACCACTACTATTAGCATTTGCCAAATGTGTGTGTAATAAAACACAAAACAAAACAAGTGAGACTGTATAATATTAAACAGAAATTATTGGAGGGCATTGTTTTGGGCTGAGCTCCTGCACTAGACCCCAACCGACCAGGCTAAGGATCGAAACGGAGCCACCCGTGCTCAAGTTCCAGGTGACCACCAAGCCTGAACTGAGTTGTTATCCGACCTTGGGAGACATCAGGAGAGAGAGAACAGCCGGTTTCCCAAACGGGCCAGTTGCGACCTTTAGTCGACATGGGAATGAAGTTTCCTTTGTATTAATCCTTACAACCAAAGATAACCTGAAGCAACTTGATGTTAGCCGGTCGGTTATTTTTCATTATTCTGTTTCCCCGTGACGAGGGCAGTGACTCTGATGACCAGGTCACTTTTCACTCTTTACTTCTGCCTTCTTCGGCCCTCTCTGTCCATAGAGCTAACGGCTTCTACTCAGCTCATTGGAACACTTACCCTGTTTGATGGAATGAAGTCTTCTAGCATCATAAACCATCTTTAAACTAAATTTGTTGTAATTTTGCCTTTTGACAATAATAGTGCTCTTTTGAAACCTCCCCTCTTGTCTCAAACCCGTGTCCGTGACCATTCTTGCTGACTTACCCTTTCTTTCCACGTTGGCTTGGGGGTCCACTGGGGGAATGTGCCTTATCTGTACCTGCTTTACTTGAGACTTCGATCACTAACTTGTGCAGTCCCTCTGGGATTTTCCATTCCTGCTGCCCTCCCCTCCTTCCTGAAGATCCTCTGTGCCTGTCCCTAACCGCATGTCCTAGGACACCTGGACGGCCACTCTATTCTGCTTCTGCAGACAGTGGAAGATCCGCGGATGTACCGGTTTGGTGGTTATTTGTGGGGCAAGATCAATTCAGTGGGAGCTTTCCTTTGCCTGCCCAGAAGGTGTCACTAGAGGATGAAAATTAAATGATTTCACTGTAGAAAAAAACATGGCCAATTTTCACCATCCTGCCTCCCTTATTGCAATTGATTTCCTACTGTTCCTTCATCCCCTTGTTACCTACTTCTCCAGCCTCCCTGATGAGGTAGAAATGCTTGTTCCAAACAGCTCTGATTTAAATTTCATTAATAGCAATCAAGGCGGAGCACTTCCTCCCACTCTCCGTCCCCCCCTAGTCAGTGTGGCTCCTGCTGCAGTAGACCTGACTCTTGTCTCTCTCTGCCTCTGCCTCAGGGGACGTCAGGAACGACATCTACATTACTCTCTTGCAAGGTGACTTTGACAAGTACAACAAGACCACGCAGAGGAACGTGGAAGTGATCATGTGTGTGTGCGCGGAGGACGGCAAAGTGCTGCCCGTAAGGGACTCGGCTGCTGCCCTGGGTGACAGGGTCCCCTCGGGGGGCCTCTGCTCGTAAAGATTTGCTTTTCCTCTCCCCAGTTCTGCTCTCTAAATGCCAGGTGACTTTAGGATGGTGTTGAATGATGTGATTTTCACCTTCGGAGCGTGGTTAGCACAGTGCCCCTTAATAAGACCTCGTGTTATTTCTTACACCACAGCAGTCTTTTTCGATGTCTGTTCCTCTCCTTTCATGACCCCTCCTCCTCTTTCTTCTTTTAATTTTATATTTTTATGATTATTAATGTTTTTTTGCTTGGTCTCAGCTTATGGGTTAGCTTTTTGCAGTTAAAATGTTTTCATCGAAACTTGAGCTTTATCCAGGCAGTGGTAAGGAGAGGATCAATACGGTACTTTGGGCTGGTGTGGAGGCTCAGGATGTCCTCAAAGCAGACATTCTCAGCACTTAATCTAGCTCCCCAGCGCTCAGCCAGAAATTCTGGTGGAAAGCCTTATTCGTAAATTGGTCTCCAGAGGGCTAGCAGAGTGTATTCAAGAATGCAAAGCACACTGCTATATTTATACAGCATATGTCCTGTCCAATATTTGTCATGTGTGTTTACATTTATTTGCTTATATTTCCTTTAAGATTGTCAGCATTTGTGTCCAGCGTGTGGGAGGGTTTGCTTCTCAATTCCTCCTGTTGGGTTACCTAGCTGAAAATAAAATCAGCTCTCAGCAGAAGTTTTAGCATGGGCAAATCTTCTTAGGCCACTGTAGATGATCAGATAGCCAAGTAGGGTGGATGAGTTAATCAGAGAGGGGATGTGAAGATTGATAAGTCATCAGTTCTATCCCTGGGGCCTGGAGCGCAAGCTGATATTGCTACCTTCCACCTAAGAAAAACCGAGGCCGGGGGATTGCCAGGTGTCAGGCAGGCTGTGTGAGGTGTGATGCATTTCCTTTATCATCTCCCATTTGATAGATGGGGAAAGGAAACCTTTGTCAAGTGAAACGACTTGCCCATGGTCATAAAGTGAGTGTATTGCAGAGATGGGGTTTGATTCCATGCTCCAGGCCCTCTTAAATACTTTACCATAATGCCTATACATTTTAAAAAAATTCTTCCATTTGTTTCTCATTTTAAAAATGAGGCTGAAAACCACTTCTAATAAATTCTGGGAAGATACATAGTTATTTTTTAAATTTAAAGAAATCCCCACAATTGCCTTTTTGTTCATAAAGACTAGCTCCATTAATTAATATCTGTTTAAACAAATTCTAAGCATTTAACTCATCCTCCTTTTGTTGGAGTCTGAAATGTTTCTGAAAAATAAAATAAGTGAGAAACAGTCTGCTCAAAGGAACACAAAGGAAGAGCAGAGGGTTTTTATCTGAAAGGAAAAATTGCATTTCACAAATGTATACCATCCCTTTGAAGTTATTTTTATCTAACTACCTGTTGGAGAACTTTTTAACCTCAGCTTCATTTTTAAAACATTGATACGCTTGCCTTCTGTGTTGCTGAAGGACAAATGAAAAGGAACAGTTAACAGGCAAGCAGGCATCTCATCTCCTGTCTGAACTGTTCTTCCTTCCACTTTGGCCACCTTTCAAGTCACACCCAACCAGGTCGAACTGCTGCACTTACCAAAGATGAACAGATGGGGGGTAAAAAAATGATTGTGGGGCACAGTGATAATTTGCAGTTTCCTCTGTTAGGGAAGTTATGGGGGAGTTCAGTTGACTGACTATTGGAAATTGCTAAGGAAGCCTGTGGGAGGCTTTTCCTTTTCTATTTGCAGAAATAAATATTGCTGCCTAATTGTCAGGCAGCACATTCAAACACTTTTGTTTGATACTGGCAGATTCTTATGGGAACAGCCCCTTTAGGAATATTGATGTCTCCTCCTGTTCCATCTGTCTTTGGCAGAGCAGGACCAGAGGGCAGAGTAGGTTAGGACTGCCCTCGGCTCATTCTGGGGTCCCAAGGACCTTGCTGAGGAGGGGCCTTAGTAGGGAAGCTCATGGGCTGGGCTCTGGGGTCAGACAATGAGGGTTCAAATCCTGGCCTCCCCTCCAGTCAGCTGTATGATCGTGGGCAAGTTTATCCATCTATAAAAGAGAGAAAGAATAATAACCTCTTCTCACAGCTTGCAAATTAAACAAAGCAGTAGATGTCAGGCACCTAGGATACAGTCATACGCAGTAGAAGAAGGAGAGTAACATTTGGGGAAGGAGGACCAAGTGCAGGGTGAAGCCCTTATAGGGACCTGATGGAGTCACTCAGGCAGTCCAGCCACAAGCAGGGTTCTGGAGAAGAGAAAAGGCTGAGACACTGGGCCCAGAAACCCCCGCTTCCCTGACACAAGCCAGCTTGAGGAGGTGGAGGCAGGGCCCGGGCCGTGGGGGTGGTGGTTAAGACCATCATCTCTGGGGCCAGGCAGCCAGGCTCAAAGCCCAGCTCAGCCTGGATTAGCAAGATGACTTTGAGCAGTTACGTAAGCTCTCTGAGCCTGAGCGTCTCTGCCTGAAAACCAGACCAGCAACGGCACCTTTCCCTTGTGAATATCCGATGAGGCAATCATCTGATTAGGTGTTTGTGACATTTAGCCATTGTCACTAGGGAGGAATCCCGACTCCAGGCCTGAGTCCCTCCTTACGGATGCTCATCGGCATCTTCCCACGACGTGGCCTTGTCAGAGGAGTGCTCACATCCGTGGTATCACCTGTTCCTCACGTGATTCCCGCAGAGTAAACGGGGCACGTGTTAGGAGGCGGAGTTTTCTTCCTGCAGAGATGTCTCTTCCCAGGCCACGTCGGCATTAAATCCCCCAGGCTCCCTGACTCTTACTTAGACTTTCTCCAACTGACCGAGGCCTCCCACACCAACTCGGGGCTCTCACTGTTACCTGGGGGCTGGGGGGATGGGCACTGTGAAAATTATTGAACAGTCCTGCTTGTGATACATACAAATGTGTATTTTCCCTGAAACTGGGCTCCGTTCCTGGTCACGATGCTCTGCTACGCGCTTTGCAGCATTCGGTTTTCTCTCTGAAGTGTTGAAGGTGAGGGCAATCTTTGGTCTTTCTCAGAATATGCTGAGACTTTTTTCTCCAGCCTTGGGAAATAAAAAATTTTCATCATCAGGATAGTTTTGTGAGATTCAGTTGCCTGCCATACAGCAATTTTACTTTCATCAGAGATATATGTGTGTTTTCTAATTTTATAAGCTGCATGGGATTCACCGGAGCTACAGAAACACTAAGCCCATAAATGTCACCAGATATAAATCTTCGTAGGCTGGAAGGCATCTAGGTTATTACAGAAGGAACATGGACAAGGTGTTAGAGGGTCTGGGAGATAGTCCCAGCTCTGCCTCTTTTTGGGCAACTGACTTAACCTCTCCGGGCCTCAGTTTACAGAGCTGTGAAATGGGGATAATGACAGTAATCGTGAGAGGTGGTTGTGAGGATTAATTAAGTGAGGTGGTGTGTGTAAAGGGCTTAGCACTGTCTAAATAGAGGCAGAGTTGGGGAGCATGTTCTTAGTTCAGTGCCTCCACAGGTTCTCAAGGGCTTCCTCCCGTGGACAACCAAGAGAGTTGTGTGTCTTTGCCCACTTCCGGTGCACTGGTTATCCTTGTTTTTTTTTTTTAAGAGACAAGTTCTAAAAGGACTCTGTGTGCTGCTTTTAAATGGATTTGATTTGGCTGCCAGTACCATCAGTTAATGCTGAAGTCAGGCTAATTCTTTTCCTACAGAAGCAGTGAGGAAGCTTTCCAGCAAAATAATACGGCCCTCCTTCCCACAGGTCAGCAGGGCTCACCAGGGTTCACAGAGTGCCTGCATGTGGCCAGCTTTGGTGACAACCTGGTGGGGGTCAAGGATCCATTGGAGAAGCTAATGGAATCTGGTGAGAGGCATGAACTTGTTCACCATAAAAATGCCCAGAGAGGCACAGAGTTTTGCCATTTCGGGGGCCGGGACTCAAAAACGAACCCTCTTGCCTCTAGAAGTCTGGCAATTTGAGGTTAAAAATCTGGTGGACTGCATTTATGCCCCTCTGGGTGATCCTAGGTTGAATCTTGTTTTGAGGCCAGATAATCTGGAATGAACACAGAGAGAGAGAGAGAGAATTAGGGGCTGTTGTATGCTACTAGAAGATAATTCCTTGTTACTCAGTCAACTCCGTTCTGAAACTCAGAAGGAGGTTTTTATGGCACAGAATAACTATCCTGAATAGGTTCGTATGTGTGCTCTGCACTCGCTCTCTGCTCAGAGTGCCCTTCCCACATTTCTGCTCAAAGCCAGCTCAGCATCTTTCTGCAGGGTGCTTGATTGTCATCTCCTCCTTAATCTACAGCTGCACGTAAGTGTCCCTCTTCTGAGCCTCACAGTAGTGTGTACATGTGCCTGTTGTCATGTTGCATTGCTACAGTGACTTGTTGCCTGTTCTTCCCTCTACCAAACTGTGAGCTCGCCTCGGGTTCAATATCTGACTCATCCCCACGCCCCAGTGCTTAGCACAGGCCTGGTACCCAAAAGATGCTCTGTCACTGTGGGCTGAACCCAGCCTCTCTCCCCTAGCTCCCTCCACCCCAAGGAGGGCATCTGTGAGTCTCTCTGAAGCCCCTGTTCTCTCCCCTTGCTCGGCACTCCCCCCACCCACACCCTGGTGTGTCAACATTAGAAATCCATCGGAAGGAGTTGCTGCTTGGCTGATCTGAGCCTGTTTGTAAACTTTGCGCACATTCGGATTTAGGAAACAAATAGGATTAATAGGACTGGCAGTAACTCCAAGGCTGGTTGCCATTTACAATAAGGCAGCCGCGTCAACGCCGGGCGCGCTCCAGCGGTTTCTGGGATGGAAGTAATAGAATTTCTGTAGTTAAGCAGCTGTCACTCCCATGACTGAGGGTGCCCATGTATAAATCCGTAATGTAGAAGGGCCATGATGGAGGCCTGGCGGAAAGGTTAGGGAGGGCAGAGTGATCCCAGGCCCTAAGGCTGGCCGTGGCCTTGGGACCAAAATTGCTTCAGGACAGAAAATGGAAATTCTGTATTTTTTCTCTCTCTTTGTTTTTCTTGGTCAGAATGCAATTTGCGTGGGAGCTGGGGACAAGCCCATGAATGAGTATCATTCCGTTGTGTACTATCAAGTCAAACAGCCACGCTGGATGGAAACAGTGAAGGTAATAATAATAATAATAATAATAATCAATAATACCAATAGCAGCAAACATGTATCTAGTTCTTACAATAAGCCAGTCACTGCTTTAAGTGCTTTATTTAAACAATTCACTGACTACTTACAACAGCCATGTGAGGTCTGTAATATTTCCCTCATTTTCTAGATGAAACTGTAACACAGAACAGGTAAGTAGCTTGCCCGTGATCACACTGCTGGTAAATGTCAGAGCCGGGATTCGAGCCTGAGCAGGGTCTGTGCTTCTCAACACTGCCAGAGGAAACAGGGGCTGACTGGACCAGTTAGCATTCTTCCTCCTTTTTGTGAGAGCAGTGGAGCAAGGCAGCTGTGAGCATGGACCCCGGACCCAGGGGATCTGGGTTCATGCTGCCCGTGTCACGCTCACCAGCTGTTGGACCTTGGGCAGGTCATTCAACTGCTCTGTGCTCTGGTTTCCTCATCTATAACATGGGAGCAATAGGATGACTGTGGCAAAGAAAGAGTTTAACACACATAGCACCGTCAGAAGAGTCCTTGGAAGAGAGTACACACTCAATCGATACAATTCGTGATCAGTCATACTTGGCAGTTTTCTTAGTGTGGAAAACCAAGCTGGATTTTTCACTCCTTCAACACGCCCCTCAAACACTTGACCCTCGCCTGTGTGTTACCCCCCTTCTACAAAGTGGCGTAATTCATAGTGGTAGGCAGCCTCGTGACGCTCTGTGCAGTGGGGGAAGAGAGGGGAAGAAGGATGTACTAGTTCCAATATGTGACTCAGTCTCCCTCAAGGTCCTTCTCATATAGCCCCCCGCAAACTGTTCTGTGGAATACTAAGTGGTGTCGTGTTAAAATAATATTCCCTGGTCAGACAAATGTGAGAAATGTTGAGACATTTGAGAACAAGTATAGAAGTCAAAGACTTCTTATTTAAGGTTCTCAGAGCCTTTGAGAGAACGTGCTCTGCAGATCTGCTAAAGGAAGTGAGAGTGCAGGGCCCTTCCCAGACCTCATTGACTGTGGGCATTTCCTCTTTTCCTACTGTCATAGCCCAGGGCTAGTATTCTGTTGAACGTATTTTATTAATAGAAATTCCTCGTTTTGGCTAGGCGTGGTGGCTCATGCCGTAATGCCAGCACTTTGGGAGGCTGGGGCGGAAGGATTGCTTGAGGTCGGGAGTTTGAGACTAGCCTGTGCGACATAGTGAGACCCCATCTCTACAAAAAAAAAAAAAATTTTAATTAAAAAAAAAGTAGCCGGGTGTGGTGGCATGCCTGCAGTCCCAAGCTACTCAGGAGGCTAAGGCAGGAGGGTCACTTGAGCCCAGGAGTTCAAGGCTGCAGTGAGCTATGATTATGCCATTGCACTGCAGCCTGGGTGACAGGGTGAGACCCTAACTCTAAAAAAAAATAAAGTATAATAATAAAATTTAAAAAAGAAATTCCTTGTTTTAATCTAAGGAGATGGGAGGCTTGATGGATCAATGTGATCGTGAATAACACACGAGAATGAATTATGTTTTCTTCATGAAATGTCCAGCTCAGTTCTGGGGCCAGTGATGACAGAAAGAACTTATGTGACCGCCTGTAAGGGCACCCCCTGGATCTGAAACAGCATCCTAGCACGTGTCCAGTGGCCTGTCAGACAGTAGGAATGGAGGCCTAATGGGTGTGCACCATGGTTCTGTTGATCACCCTTCACTGGTCTAGGACCTAAGCAATGTGGAATTGTCAGATGGTCTCTTGTGGACACTGCCCAGCCCATCGAATCGTGCCGTTCTACTTGGCAGAGGGGAGTAACAGAGCTTGCAAGCAAATGTGAGCCTATAAAAGGCCACATAGTGCCCGAAAGATGTCATTTTGCTAATTCCACTAGATGGAAGTGGAATTAACAACAAATATTCACACTACCATATCATCACACTAAGCAAAAGGGAATAACTTGCATTGGAATAAGAATTTGGAATTAGTTCAGTGAGCAGTGAAGCTTGATCATAGTTTAAATCTCTCTGCCTTATAATGAGATATTATTATTAGCAGTATTATTTTTTTACCCACCCTGTGCTCTGACTCCAAATTCCGGACATATACATGACTTCCTTTTCAGTGATAGCTATTCAAACCCAATGGTTCTTGACTTGTCACACATATTACTATTTAATATTTTCCTCGGTGTATCTCTCGGTACACACTGTCTTCAAATTGATGACTTGCCCAACCTTGGGGTCAAAAAATTATTGGACTTGCTTGGGATTCTCTTCTCTGTGTTCTTTGGCACCCCATTCTGTCTCTTTGCTAGCACTTGTCACGGGGCTGTTATATGTCGCCCTCTGTTGACCGTGCTCTTTGAGGGTGAGGACTGTGCCTTACGTCAACGTGGCCAGCGCCTCGCGTGATCGTAGTTTCCGGTAACCATTCAATTCACAGAGAAAGGCTGGATGGGACTGCAGTCACCCACGAGGCCCTCGGTTCTCTCGCTCTGTCTGAAACGTGGGGTGGTGGGCCTACTCAGACCACATTTCATTTTCTCCAACGGAAAGTGCCCGAAAGTATACACCTGTTTTGGCTTTAAATAATCATCTGTACAGTGAAAACTTATCCCTTTTTAAAATCAAAGCATCTTCCTCACAGGTAGCTGAGTTTCTCTGCATCGGCCTGAATCGCACGTTGCCAGGGAGCTGTGTGGCTTTGGGAGGTGGGCGGTGCAGGGCCAGGCCCAAAACACCTCCATCAGTGGTGCCGTCGGGCCACTCACGGGACAGCGATGCTGGGGTGACCCAGGGGTGACTGTCTTAGCTCAGTGTCCTTAGAAGCAATGTGTCCAGCCAAGGGTGGGATGAGCCCTAAGGATTTTTCCAAATATTACTGGATTAAAGCATTTTTATTAATTTGCACAAATGAGAGTCCTCAAGCAAATTCCCGAACTGCCATTGTTAACTTGCTAAGCCCTGCCGCAGTCGCCGGGAGTCCTGGCGTGTGGGAGGAAAATGTGCACCGTGCAGTTTGCAGTGCATCAAATCCTGTGCTAAAGTTATGTGACTTTTATATCAATTTGGGGAGATTCATTTTTCCTCGCTATAATTTACGGACCTCTTTTCATTGGCTGGGAATGCAATTTGCCAAATGGATTACATTTGGTACTTTATTTTCTCTTCATAGCTAGTTCTCATGTAATTTATTTACAGTTCATCAGGCTCGATGGATGTGTAGTAAACCAGCAGGCAGCTCTCTCAGTTAAACGGTCAGGCTGCCGTTGGGGGTGGGGCGGAGTGGGGGGGCCCTTTAACTCGTCTCCTGAGCTCTGGTTTCTGCCTGCTCAGGTGGCGGTGCCTATCGAAGACATGCAGAGGATCCATCTGCGATTCATGTTTCGACACCGGTCATCTCTGGAATGTGAGTACCTAGCCAAACGGTATCTCTGCGGCTCCTCTAAGTGGGGAAGAATGGAATAGCTGGGTGGCCCACGGATCATTGCCTTTCCTGACCTCACAATGCTATTTCCAGCTAAAGATAAAGGAGAAAAGAACTTCGCCATGTCCTATGTGAAACTGATGAAAGAAGATGGGACTACTCTGCATGACGGATGCCATGACTTGGTTGTCCTCAAGGTACCACGCGTTAGAATGAACTCTGCCCTGAAGGGGGTGCAGGAAGCAAGGGGGCAATAGCAGACTTGCTTAGTGCTTAACAGCAGGGACCCCAGAATCACACACACCCCCCAGGGTTTACCAGCTCTGTGGCCTTTTACAAAACCTTAACTTCTCTGGGCCTCTGTTTCTTCACGTGTGCCCGCTCCGTGCATAATTGCGAGGATTGTATGAGACAGTGCACATAAACACAGCAATTGTGGGTACATGGGAGAGCTCTATAAATGGAAAAGGTTATTGTTAAATACAGAAATGGGTTCCTGACTCCGTAAGGACCTCTTTGGGACGTGTAGAAGACCTACAACAGACATTTGAAAGATGCTTCACTGTAGCTAATGGAAAAATATTAGAATCTGGAGTCCTGACCCTGCTGCTGACTAAATCTGGAATCATTTCACATGCCTTCCCGAGTCTCAGTTCCTTTTTCTTAAGCAGTGATGGCAATATTTATAGTAACCCAATAAGATGGCCCATGTGAAAGGGCCATGTGAACTATAAAGGGAACACATATGCCCACTATTTTTATTTTTACATCATGAGACTTGGACTGTTTTTGAGAAGTGCAGAAGTGTTTGCCTTGATCTTACCTGCATGTTTCTTCCGGTATGTCCCCTTATGACAGCAGAATGCATCTACTACCACCTGGATGGGTGCAACGTGCGTGGCTATGAAATACAGCAAGGTTAAGTGGCCAGTGCAGGGATCAAACACGCGCCCTTGGCTTTCTTAACCTTGAAGGCTGAAATTGCCCTTTTTGCCTATAGTGTGCATGGCAAACACAGCCTCATCAAGGCCTTAGCACACAGTATTCTTCTCTGAGTCTGACTTTTCTGGAAAACCCATTTTCTTCTCTAAAGCCTCTGTTTTCTCATTTATCACACTTTGAGCTAGTTCTTGGCTTGAAAGCCATTCTTCCCCAACAGACTATGCACTCCTTGGGTGCAGAGGCCAAGTTGCAGTCAGTTTTCTTCTTACTTTCCCCCATTAAGCCTCAGTTTCCTCAACTGAGGATGATAAGTGTCTGTTTCATATAATTGTCCTGAGGCTTCAATGAAATGAACTAAGGCATGTAAAGCACTTGGTTCAGCTCTTGGTGCAGAGTAAGATAAATGTTATCTCCTGTAATGCCTTCCTCTAGTCATTCATTTTAACTTATGTGTCTGCCACTCTACTATGCACTCTGTATTCATTGTCCTTTAGTCTGCTATAGCAGTGTAGGAAGTAGGGATTATGATTTTCCTCAGTTTACTCATTTAAAAAAATGAGGCACAGAAAGGCCAAGGAACACACCTCAGATGGCATGGACTTGAGAATGGCAGAACAGGGTCTAGGTCCCAGGATGTTCTTACTTGGTGCCTTTGCCATTAACTTCTTCTTTAATGCATCAACTGCCATGAGTTATATTTTTACTGTTACAATTAATATTGGCAATTTAATTGTGAAAATGTAGATTAAATGAAGTCAATCAATTTTGTTTTTCTATTTATGTTTACCTTTAAATTACACGCGAAGTTTTTATTCTATTTTCATAATAAAACACTGTGGCCCCAAGGAAAAATTTCTGATTTTTTTGTGTGGCAGTCAATGTGTTAAGCTAGATTCCTTATCTTGCTGGTGGGATGTATTATAACCTTAAAAAAAATTAGGATTACTTAAAATGGCCTGTCTAGGAATCTTCAGTTCCCTTTTTTGCCATTAATGAACTTTACAGAGACTTCAACTGGTTGATCAACACTTTTTCATTATTGTAACTTTGGGTTCTTGCCTATTTTGTGGAGAAACAGCCTTGCCTCACCAGCTGATAGTTACTGCTTCTCTGATGATTTTCCTCACTGTCTATGACCCTCTCCACTTCACAGTGTGTAATTTGGCCACTGCAAGCTCTGTGTAGCGTTGGCTATGTAGCCTTGCCTAGGGGCAGTAACCAACGTGTTGTTTCCAGGGGGACAGCAAGAAGATGGAGGATGCCAGTGCTTATCTGACTCTTCCTTCGAATCGACACCATGTGGAAAACAAGGGGGCCACCTTGAGCCGAAGTTCCAGCAGCGTTGGGGGGCTCTCCGTCAGCTCCCGGGATGTGTTCTCCATTTCCACTCTGGTGTGCTCCACAAAGCTCACCCAGAATGGTAACGAATCATCAAGAGTTGTATCTCTGTGTGTGTGTGTGTGTGTGTGTGTGTGTGTGTACATGCCCAGGGAAGTCCTGGTATGGGCCGTTTAGCCCAGTGACAGTAATTCTGCGTATGTGGCCTCTATTTTAGTGGGCTTGCTGGGTTTGCTGAAGTGGCGTATGAAGCCTCAACTGCTACAGGAGAATTTAGAGAAGTTGAAGATTGTGGATGGAGAGGAAGTGGTGAAGGTCAGTGGGGCTTCATTTTGTTTGTATTTATCCATCAGTGGTAGAAATTTCAATCATGGGTGGCTCCAGGGGAGAAACAAAGCATTGAAGGAGACGGAGAAACTTTTTCTCTGGTGATGGGACACATTGTCCCAAGTTGCCATGAGGAATCTTTGTTGGGCAATCCAGGGGGATGACGTTATTCAGTGGCTGTGAATGTTGAGTGGCTGAGAACTATGGCTGTGCCCAGTCTCTAGAATTAGATCAGCCTGGGTGTCTACCCCACTCTCCCACTTGCCAACTTCATGTGATACTTTTATGAATGTGACATAGTTGTCAGGGTTGTTATGAGCATTCAAGGTGGTAATGTTTAAAAATTACCCAGCAGGCCGGGCGCAGTGGCTCATGCCTGTAATCCTAGCACTCTGGGAGGCTGAGGTGGGCGGATTGTTTGAGCTCAGGAGTTCGACACCAGCCTGAGAAAGAGCGAGAACCTGTCTCTACTAAAAAAAAATAGAAAGAAATTATCTGGACGACTAAAAATATACAGAAAAAATTAGCCGGGCATGGTGGTGCATGCGTGTAGTCCCCGCTACTCGGGAGGCTGAGGCAGAAGGATCACTTGAGCCCAGGAGTTTGAGGTTGCTGTGAGCTAGGCTAACGCCACGGCACTCACTCTAGCCAGGGCAACAGAGTGAGACTCTGTCTCAAAAAAAAAAAAAAAATTACCCAGCAATCTCTTACACATAGCACACAATAATTAAACAAAGCATATGAAGTATATGAACTTCAATAAATAGTAACGATTAATTATTTTTGTTGTTATATGTTACTACATATAGTAGAATTATCCCTTGGTACTACCCACATATCATTGTTAGAAATAAAAAGTATTCTTGGTTTCTGCTGCTTGGAGAACATTATGTATTAAAGATGAGAAAGAGGAAGACATCAGGGCTTACATTTTAAGTGAAACAAGCAGAAAACAATGCAAATGTCAGACGTATTATTGCATCCACATAGCAGTGGAAAGTATGAAGTGTGCGAAGCGCAGCACTAATTAAGGCAGCCCTCCTCTCCAGCGCTATGAATTGGGACAAGTGTTTCCCAGTGGTCCTGGTGATCTTGCTTTTATCGGGAACTTGGTACAGCTAGAAACACCAGGATCGAACATCTTTATGTGGTTATTCTGTGTTTTGAGGGATTATAGGAAATATTGACCCATCCATTAGGAGGGAGGAGAATCAAGTTTTATTTAATTTCCCGTACCTGGGAAACAGTGGTAGAATTTCCAGATGCTTTAAGTGTACACTCTTGGTCCACTCACCTGGTTCAGCAGTGGCAGGGTGATTCCCCCAGACACCCCTTTCATGAGGTCTGTAGCCTTCGGGTAGCTTGTCACAGGGTTGCGGGGGCCTTCCATTGCCTCCCTTTTGCATCCTTTTTTTCTTTTTAAAAAAGGTTTGCTATTGAGGTATAATCTGCATATGAAATGGGTACAGAGCAATTACGGTGGGAGTCTAGCTCAATGAATTTTTAGACGTGTGCACACACCTGTGTACTCACCACCCACCATCAGATCAAGACACAGAACATTTTTAGCATTATGGTAGGTTCCCTCCTACCCCTTCCTGGTCAACAACCCCCTTTATGTAACCACTATCCTGACTACCATCATCACAGATGGGTTTTTACCTGCTCTCGAATTCCATGAGAACAGAGTAGTAAAGAATGTACACTTTTGTGTCTGGTGTCTTTTACGCAATCCAGTGCTTGTGCAGGTCATGCTCACTGTGACATGTGGAAGCAGTTTGCCCTTTTGTGTAGCTGTGCAGTGTTCTCTAGTGTGAAAATGCCACCGCGTAAGCATCCACTCTGCCGTTGATGGGCAATTGGGTTGCTCCAACTTCTAGTTCTTATGAATAAAACTGCTCCGGACTTCTCGAACATGGCATGTGGTGGATATGTGCTCTTGTTTTCTTGCATAGACACTTAAGAGCAGGATTTCTGAGTCACCTGCACTCGTTCTTAATGCGACCTTCCTTATTCAATCCAGTTTCTCCAGGACACTCTGGACGCACTCTTCAACATCATGATGGAGCATTCGCACAGTAATGAGTATGACATCCTCGTCTTCGATGCTTTGGTAAGAGAGAGGGGACAGTGTTCAGTGACATTAGGCAGTCATGGGAGTCTGACTGTGAGAATACTGAGAACCTGTGGCTCTTGTGGCCCTTGTCGTGAATTCTTTGGAGGCCTTGTAATGTTTGGCAACCAGACCAGTGAATGAGCTGCTGTTTCCTTTTGCATGTCTCTAGTTCATGTGAAAGCATGCGGCATGGTGGGTGAAAGGAGAATGTTAGGTGTTGATGTCAGGTTGACACTGGTTGAAGGTATGTGAGGCTGGATACTGGGAATGGTCGCTCTGGCTTTCCATGAACGCTGGGGGCTGGTCTACATTGTAAAGCACCTAAAATGTTCCCCACCTCTCCTTTCACCTTCTTCTTCCTCATGTCCTCCAACTCACCGAGGTATTACACTCCTCCTGTCTACCCAGAACCTTCCATGGTGGGAGACCATCCAGAGCTCTCCTGCCTCAATCTTCCTACATAGTCTCTTTCTCCTCTCCCTGTCACAGCTCACATTTTCTCATTGGCATGTCAAAATAAACACAAGAAGCATGTGCATTAGGGTATCTGTGCCCAACGAAGTCTTCGTGGGTTGACCCCTAGTGTCAGGGACATTTGCATTTATAAACTTGGAGACAGCTGTGGCTTAATCAAGTGCTTCCCAAGAAGATCCCCTAGAATGCTAGCCCTACAGCAAAGATGTTTCATGGCAAAAAGATCCTTTGGTTAATTAACTCAGAGAAATGCTGAATGTTGCATGACCCTCTTAGAGATTCACCAAACACATAAGTAAAGGCTCTGAAAAGTTCTGCAGTAAGAAAGGCAGTATAATAATGATAACCTGTTATTTGGCCATGAAATGCTTTTATAACACCGTGCAGCACACTTCATGAAATGATTTTGGGGGTTCACTACCTTAATGAAAAGGACTATCTATTAGTGAGCTAACTCCTGGGTAAGAGAATTTTGATAGGGGTTGAGTTATGCCAGGTGAATATGGCTTCTTGCTGTGGATTTGCCCTGAAAATACTGATTCCCTGCATCTTCCTCAGATCTACATTATAGGACTCATTGCAGACCGGAAATTTCAGCATTTCAACACCGTTCTGGAAGCCTACATCCAACAGCATTTCAGTGCTACCTTGGCTTACAAGTAGGTAACTGCGCATGTGGGGATTTCTTGTCCACCTCCTCCTTGCCCTGCCAGGATGCCTAGGGCACAGGAACTTGAGTAATTTCCTTGTGTCACGAATCATTGTGAGTTCTCCCTTTTCTGATAAAATCCAACTCATGCCTAGGTTATTTGAATATCAATAAAAATATGCAAAACCCATGGGTTGGGATGAATCTTTATAGTGGCAGTAGTTTGTGGAAGTGCCCGTTTATTGATTCATTCATTCAGCCAGTCAACTATCATTGACTGAGCAGTTACTTGTACTTGTGGTGGACACCAGAGCCCAAAGCTGGAGAGAAGAAAGTGCACATACCATGTAGCTCAGTGTAGCTTGGGTGTAGGGAGCCGAGGGTTAGAGATGGGAGATGATGCTGAAGAGTTTGGTGGGGGTGAGATTGTGAAGGGGCCTTGGAAGGCAGGCTTGGGCCTGGTGCGGTGGCTCACACCTGTAATCCTAGCACTCTGGGAGGCCGAGGTGGGAGGATCGCTTGAGGTCAGGAGTTTAAGACCAGCCTAAGCAAGAGTGAGACCCCATTTCTACTAAAAATAGAAAAATTAGCTGGGTGTGGTGGTGTATGCCTATAGTCCCAGCTACTCGGGAGGCTGAGGCAGGAGCATTGCTTGAGCCCAGGAGTTTGAGGTCGTTGTGAGATAGGCTGAGGCAACCGCACTCTAGCCTGGGCGACATAGTAAAACTTTGTCTCAAAATAAAAAAAAAAACCCAGAAAAGAAAGACAGGCCAAGTAGTTTGAAGTCTACTCTACTGGTAAAGAAGAAACATGGAAACTTTCTAAGCAAGGAAGTTCCACGATATTACAAGAACACTTTCTGTAGAAAGAAAAAACTGAAAAAGACATTATCACCACCATTATTCCCACTTGTAGCCTGATTGTGACTGGTTTTCCTAGTCAAAGGATCTTTTTTCCCTCACTAATTTTTTTCTTTGCTGGCTTTTTTATGGATAGGAAATACTTATTTATTCTCTGTAATAAATACGTTGTTTTAAGCAGAGTTATTTTTATGCTTACAAATGAGTGAGTGAGCTTGGCTGTACCACCACCTTTAACCTTTGATTGAATGCCTTATAATTTACAGAGAAAACTAATTACCATGCTCTGGGTAAAAAAGAAAGAGATGTATTCTGAAAATATTACCCCTTATTCAGGAAGTTGATGACAGTGCTGAAGACTTACTTGGATACTTCCAGCAGAGGGGAGCAGTGCGAGCCGATCCTAAGAACTCTGAAAGCTTTGGAGTACGTGTTCAAGTTCATTGTGCGGTCGAGGACATTATTTTCACAGTAAGTACTTGTTATGTTAGAGTGATTTATCAGCTCTGCAATTCTTGTGGGATACAGCAATATCTTTACTGTAGGAGAAACGTGTTTAAAAAATTATAACCAGCTATTGATCAAAAACAACTTAAGAATGCAACCTAGAGAATTTTGAGTATGTGAGAATTGTACCCCCTAAGTTCATTTGAGAAAAAAGAAAGAAATCTTAACATGTTGTAGAGTTACGTTTCATCCAGTGAATGTGATTTGTGAGTTGAGGCTCTTCTGTGTTTAATCTAATATTCTTCACCTGATTTGAAATATGGTGAACATTTCCAGGAATCTATATTCAATGTTAGAGGAGCTGGGAGTGGGAAGAGCAGAATTCAGGGAGTTTGACATTTATTTGGCTCTGGTACGTTGTGCATGGCAGATGAGCTTGTGTTTGCAGTTGACCTGTCTGTCCTTGAAATCCTAGTAGCCAAAAAGTGAGCTGGTATGTTAGAGCACTTAAAGAGATTTTGATGGTGATGGTCAGTATCACAGAGGCCAGCCACCTTTTTCTTTTTAGGATCACTGCGATGGGGTCTTGTGGTGGGAGAGAGAGATTGGGCTCAGCTCCCCAGCGGCCTCTTTGAAGGGCTTTGGAGATGGAGGTATTCAAATGCACTCTATGAAAGAACAATTTATATTGATCCTGGCTATAAGGCAAAGTTAGGTAGAGGATTGGTTGTGTACATGATCAGGTTGGTTGTGTGTGATGGGAAATAAGAAAAAAGCACACAAGAAATGTATTGTCTGGGCTCTTATCAGTGCAAATGAAGAATGTTCAACAGAAACTGACTTATGGAGAAACAGGAATTATGTCACATCATTGAAAAATCTGGGGGGTAGTTGGCCTCTGTCATGGCTGAATCCAGATGCTCACTGTCTTCGGGAAAGTCTTCACCTCCAGATCATGACTTTGCTTTCCTTTAGTTGATTTCCTTCTGAGGCAAGTCTTCCAATGTAGAAGCCACTAGAAGCTTTGGATTCATATTCTACAAACTGAAGGAACCCTAGGTTCCCTGTTGTCCTAGCAAAACCCTATGCCAAGAACTGTCCCGGGTATGCGCTAAGGTCTTAATCAAACAGTATGGCTGGGGGGATGAAATGCAGCTGTGTGGTTGTGGCCACATGTGCGTCTCTGGAGCCATGCATGGGTCAGGCCAGCCACTTATGGCGTGGACTTGTTTTATTGGAGAGTCCACTCCCCGAAAGAAAGTTGAAGTCTATACCCATCATTTTGGTCATGACAATGGGTGGGCTGCTACAGCTTCATACTTTGACAAGGCATCTGAAACAGGTAATCACTTGGGGCTCTCTTAAAATTCTCTTCGAGATTTTAGGTGATGAGTAGAGAGATGTGAGTGTCTTGAACCATGCCACAAAACATGTGTGACTTAGGTTATTCTGAAAGTGAAATATCTGTTTCAAAATTCCTCTGGCTTGTCAGTTAGTCCGGTCTTAGCAGGGTATTCTTCCAGGTTCGAGAGATACTTGTCAATATTTTGAAAACCAAGAGGAGACTCCAGTGAGTCTTTGTAAGAGTTGAGTTTCTTGGAGGAGTTCAAGGATTCAGACAGCATAGTTCCAAGGTAATAGGCAAGGATATCTTATCCCATCTTCCAAGTGAGAATGATCTATAGGAAGAACGTATTTTCTGTTTATCATATCTTCTTCCCCAGCTCTTCCTTTTATTTATTTATTTTATTGCTTCTACTCCCTGCTGTTCTCCCTCCCTTCATTCGTTCGTTCCTTCCTTCCTTCCATTTCCTCCCTGTTTTACCTCTCTTAGTTTTTGTCTCTTCCATGTGCTGGAACAAAGTACATTTGTGCATTTGCTTTCACCTTCTCTGCCTCAAGGCATGTCATCTTGCAGAGCCCCTAACTCTTAAATTGGTGTAGATTCAGTGCTGCTTGAATGCTAATTGACTTTTGGCTTATTAAGGAGCAGGGTGATCTGTTATTCCTTGCTGTATCCTTAGTATAGCATAAGGAACATCACCGACATTTGGTCAGAAGCGATGTCCCTAAAGCAACTCGGGCCTAATCTTGAGTCCTTTCTCATGAACAAAAATGTAGGCTGACCTGCAAAGAGGGTCTAGGACCTCATGCTGGGAGAAGGCAGATTTTGTGTCTTGATCATTTTAGCAATGATCTGCTCTCTAGTAGAACCTCTAGGGCATTGGGAAGTGATCAGGATATTTCCTCACACGAGGGGGCATCTTACTTGGAAAACTAGGAAATAGAAGGTTTAATGCTTTGAAATTTCTAAACCAGCTGGTGGGAAATCAAAATGTAATTATTACTCTTGGGCTTATTGTGTCTGGTATTGTTTCTGTTTCCTGTTATTCCTTTGTTCTCTTTCCCCATGTGCATAATTGCAGCTGATCTAGCTCCCATTAGTTGTTCCCTTGACATTTTTTTTTTTATTTTGCACATACTGCACATGAACATTTGCCAGGGCTAAGGATTTTCTCGTATCAATATGCAGGATGCAGTTGGGTGAGGGAGGAAGAGAAGTTGTTGAGAAGGAGTGGAATTTTTTATTTTATTATTTTTTTCAGAATGATTCATTTTTATTGATAGTCAAAGAAAGTGAGTTCCTTGTCCCCTGTGCTTGTGTCACTAACTCCTGAGTCAAAGTCCGGGGCAGGTGTCTCTGGGCACATGCCTGAGCCATAGCTGCAAGAGAAGCTGGCAGAGCAGGTTCCAGCTTCTGCTGCAGGAGGCAGGCTTGAAAGTAGAGAAAATTCCTTAATTGTAGGAAGTGTGTCTACCAGATGCTGGGTGGCCATAAATATGACCAAGATCCACTAAGCTTTTGTAGAATGGCTGAGCCCCTGGGAGGTGTAGAGGATAGTGAGGCACATTCTGAGAGAGTTGAGGTGATTATTTTCTAGACATTGAGCTTCTTTACAAAGCCCTTGCAGTGCCTTTGATCCTGAAGCTCAGACAACCAGCTGTGCTGATCCCCACGGTTTCTGAGCTTGTGGAATTACTCGGAGTCTGGAGCAGCCTGTGCTCCCCTGTTGCATGTGATGGATGCTGAGCAGCTCCCCTTCCTGCTGGCTAGGCGCACAGAAGTGAGAATGCAGAACTTCTGCAAGGGTGAGAGAGGAGAGCCAGAACACGGTGCCCTGGACAAGTCCTAATGCTGCCACAACTAGAGTACGGGGGCAGTGTGGAGTAATATTGCGAGTACAATGTTCACGCTGGACAAACCTCGAAGGGAGTGATATTTTTGTCCTTGTAAGTGCCTGGCTTAGTGAGAACTTTTTTCTGGGTCATGAAAGTGTGAAGTCTGGTTGGCCAAGCAGAGGGGCTGTCCTGAGAGAGAGCAGCTCCAGCTGGAGGCTGAGTGCCGTCAGGGGCTGCTGAGAGGTGCTGGACTGCATGAGTTTGGGTGCTAAGTCTCATGGTACCATCCCTAAGCGTGGTAGGAATTCAGTAAAGAAAATGATGACTTGGAGTGGGAGTGGTCAGGAAAGGGGCCCTCATCATTATGGTGAAGCTGTCAAGGCAACTATGACTTTATCCTTGTCCCCAGGGAATGAATAAAGAAAAGCTGATGTGTAGGGCAGGCCAGGTGAGCTCACACTCCTTACACTCTGCATCCTGATGGGGGCCACAGCATCTGGAAGCATCATCCTGCTCCCCACTCCTCACCCAGGAGCCTGGAAGGACCACCATGGTGAACACAGGGCCACTGGCCTGCCCTGGGGGCTGCCACTTCATTAACAGGGTATCTTAGGAGGGTGGTTCACAGCCGTAGTGGACACCTCCAGTCTAGCTGGCCTCACCCAGGGCCAGACATGATTGCCCTCCCTCTAACTGCCTTCGCCATCAATGATCAAAACCCAGACACTGGCTTTCTAGTATTTGCTTTTGCCTTTTTTCTTCTTTTTTGCATCTTTCTTTATTCTGCACTCCCCCACCACTGCTACCAAGCTACACCTTATCCCCCCACCAGCTCAGTTTCTTCTTATGTAAATAGTATATAGTGGTTCACCCTCCAGGTCATGAAGGCAGCAAGAACGCCTGAATAAAGCTCTGGCATGCTCAGCTTAGCCTGCAGTCCAGGAAAATACATAAGCCTTTGCCTTTTTAAACAAATGTGAATTTAACTCGAAGGTACTTGCCAGTGTGATTGGTTTTCATTGTTCATGTATGAATAAATATTAAAATGTAATCATGTGTTTATGCTGAGCCTGGGCTGAAATGCCTGTCACAATGCTATTCCTGTTTCTCTTGCATGTAATTTGTTTGTATGTTAATACCATTTTTTCCTACGTAAGCCTCTGTTTTCGGTTTTGAATATAATTTTACGTTTTGATGACAGTAATGGCTTAGTAAACTGCGCAATTGCAGTTAATGGGATTATTTTATGATAACACTAACTTGGCATCAGATCAGGATGGAAGAGAAAACTGTCATCAAAAGAATATTGTCAAACAGTGACTTCTCTTTAATTTATTGTCTATTTTATGCATTGCCACAGTGTTGAGGGGGAGCTAACAGCCTGTTTTTCACAAACATATGTGAAAGTGCTTTGGTAACTGTTAACTAAGTTGCTGTTATTATAACATGAAATTCTGTATATATATGAGCTTTTAAATAATTCTCTTTTCCTTTTGCCTATGCAAATATTGGTAAGCATCTATTGAGCACCTATTATTGTGTACTAGGCATTTTGTTAAGGGCTGGGGAGTCTGAAATTAGGAAGTCAGACTTCCTTAAATACTGGCAAGGTAGTGAGCAAGATAGACCTGTAACCCTGCAATCAAATCACAGTTCTCTGGGCTAAGCAATGGTTAGTGACATAATATCACAACGGAGGCTTACAAATGGTTCTTAGGGGGACTGAGAGGTTTGAATGGCAAACTCCACCTTGGGTGGACCAGTAATTCTTCTCAAAGGAGGTGATGTTTCAAACCAGACATCGAATGGTAGTTAAGAAGCCAGCCTATGGGAGAAAAGAGAAT